CCCCGTGTGTGGGTACTTCTGGGCGGTTAGTCGAGAACTGGATGTCCAATTGTTTCAGCGTGACTTGCAGTGATGTGCACGACAAGTCTATGAGGATCACGGTTTGACCTGCATGAATTATGGTAGGATGTCCTTTTCAGTCTTGCATTAGTTTCTTTGTTATCACTTAACCATCTTTCTTATGTGGCGATTTGAGCGTTGTTTCCAAACTGTGAGCATTGGTATTATTGATTGGACCATATCACTCAGTGCATCTAGTTAGTTCATGTAGGCGGATCTTTTGGGATGCATGTATATGATGATTCTAAGGACTACGGGCTAGATTTGCAGATACTCAGCTTCATCAGGCATGTATGAGATCAAGGACAAATACAGGATATGAATTATAGATTTTGGATAGATCATTGACCTTGACAACTCGCGTGATAGTTGTGTTGTTCCTGCCCAACTGCATCCCCTGTCTTAGCCTCAGGCTCGCTTCCACCAGCTCTTATTGGGCCTCTGTCGCCTAAATTATGGACGAATCAGGAATTGTGATTGAAAAGAGATTCTCATGGGGAATCACTGCTGTCCAGATGTGTTGAGTGCGTGAGTGCTCCCAGTTAATGTTGTATTTGCCATGCCTGGATAGTCCTTTGGCCTCTGCGGAGAACAAAAAAAAGAAAGAAAGAGAAATACAAAAGAAAGCAAAGCCTAGCAAATAGCACTGCTGTTCTTCAGTAACAAGAGCCAGAAATAAGCTTGTGCTGTTGAAGCGGGGCGGATCGAGGCTCGTCCCAGAAAACGAGAAGGCGCGGAGAATCACCTGCAGCTTCCATTTCTGCTTCTTCCTCTCTCTCTCCCCCTCTTCCTCTTCCTCTCCCCTCCATCGCCCCCTCCAGTTGGCATCATGCTAGCAATCCCATCCCCCTCATGCAGGCTCACCATGTCCCCGGTGCCATTTCTGTTTCCTCGGTTTCCTCTTCCACCGTTATCCACCACCCCCACCATTCACCTTGATCCAGACACGCTATGAGGAGCAATGCACGTATTAATGCCCAACTACCCGAGCTTGGAGGCAACGAATCACTACGAATGCTAAGCCAGGGCTCGATCAAACTCAATCCCACTTAGCGGTCTTCCCTTTGTTGGCACTCTAGAATATCTCCAGAAACGAGCTTTTCAACAAGACACCAGCTTCATCGCTGTTCGTCTAGTCTAACCTTTTGCTTTGTCCTCCAGCTATTTAGCGCACTCGGCGGGAATGTCCCCTGTTGCCGCGAGGTAGTTCAACCCAGGCGATCTAAAACAGAGCCCCCCCGGTCGTTTACGCCCTGCAATCCGCTTCCAAGAACCAATTATTCATGCAGCGCGGCCTAGCTCCTGGCCGTTTGAGGTCCAGGGCTGAGGGGATCGGAACGGCCTTGAGCTTTTCCTTGTCCAGATCGAACATTAGATTGTTTTTAATCGTTGTGATGAGCTGGCACAATCGAATGGGCCCGCTTCGACCTCCATGAGTGGCCCAAATCGTCGATATCAACATCAATTCGTCGCTCTTTTCACAATTAATGGGCCAATCTCCGCTTTTGGGCAACGAAACCATTCCCCTCATAGCCCCTCCATTGGTATCGACCATGATCCCTTTCTTTCCTTTTTCCCCTTTCTGCTTCAGAGCCACGTCCATGATGAGGCAGCCTAGACCCTGTTCATACCCGATGCCAGCTCGTTCTTCGCGGGAACGGGAAAAATATTAGTGGCTCGAGTCATAATGATGCGAGCAATTAAATTAGAGCACTAAAATCTAAACTGAACGATTCGTCCAAGCCGTTCCAGAATAACCATTTCTTCCCTCCCCCCCCACTGCACAGCAACGTCACTCTTGTTGCTGCCCTGTTCCCTGTCAACTCAATGGGTCTCTCTAACCAGAGCGGGCACTAGTGGCCCTTCTTTCCCGAGTCTTTGGCGTTTCTTCAAAGCCGTATTCCTCGTCGGCGTGCGCCGGCCCGTTCCAGCTTGCAGCCTCAAGATGATCCGCAGGTTCTCCATGCTCTGGCGCTCCTCAAGTGGGGAGTAATGGAGGGGGGTAACTTGCTGACGCCGTGCCATGTCCACTGTAGCATGCATAAGTCTGTCTGCTAGGTTCTTTGATTAGGTTCCGTGTTTGTCATGCCTAAGGGCAGGGAAAAAAACAAAAATCCAAAACTGGCCTACCTGCACCGAGGCGCTATTCAAGAGAAAAAAAAAAAAAAAAAAAAAAAAAAAAGGCGGCCCACAGTCTTATACGCCTGCTGTTCCCCATATCCACCACGTCTATTCGATTTAAGAAAGGGAAATGGCACGGAACCTTTTCAGATAAGAGAAGGCAAAGAAGAGAATTATACTCTAGCATCCAGCTTCGTGAATTTCCTCCCCCTACTATATCTTTGCCAATTACACCTCCTGGTTTCTTATCCTCACAACCACTACCGTTACCACTGTACAAGGACTCGACCAGGGATACAGATAAAAAAAACGCCCGCTACAACAGCAAAACCTCGTTCCCCCTCCCCCTCTTTCGCTTCCTTCGCCCTTTTTTTTTTGAGACAACAAGAGGGGCCATCTATAACGCCACGGCCAGATAAACACTCTGTCGTCCATCATGTCTGACCCAAGACTCGATATCAAGTATGACTGGCGATTGAGGCTTGAAGGTACGCCCTATATCCTAGCTATTAATTCCCCTTGTGGGAGAAGCCGCGAGTCCGTGACGCTTGAATGTTTTGTTCTTCTTGCCATTATCTCGCTTGGTCTCCGATCAGCTAGTGGACTAACATAAGTCTCCAAAGTTTATTGCACCAAAAACGGCATCGACGAGCCAAAATACAACACATTCTCCGACCGCCGAGGTAAGTTTACGTTGGTATTACCGTTATCTACCCTTCGCTCTTGTTTCCTACAAGCGTTTAGCCCGTCAGCATTTCTCTTTTGCAAGGTGCACTTCATTGTGGGATGGCGGAGTGGGTACGACACAAGACATCCACCGTTTTCTCCTTGACTGCAACCATTTCGGCGTCGCACTGTGGGAGAGTGGAGTCGCCCTCTTTTCTTCACCGACTTTTATACTGGAACCGCCAAAATTTCTTGATCATTATTATGCTGACGGTGTGGTCTTTCTATAGGAGGTCGCACAGCGTGGTCTTGTCATGTCATCGTCCACGGAACCACCTTTGCTGCCCGATATTGGTTTGATGGCGATTTCGTACAAAATGCTATGGAAGATGCTGCTGAAGTAGCTTTGAAAGTTCTGGATTCTAAGTCTTACCAGCAACCCAGCCAAGGACCACCGTCGGGGACCGTGCCTTGAGCTCTGTATTCTGGACGTTTACGGTTCTTCTCTTCCTTTCTTTCTACTCCACCTTTCGAAGGGACTTTATTCTCAACCTTTGCCTGTTTTTGATTTCCAACTTGACAACTTGACATTGCATGCGACGCGCTCCGGATTGATGCCGATCTCGCAGATATGTACAACATTACCGGCTGTCGACATTATTGCTAGTTTACTTTTCTATGCGGAACGAATTGTTACAAGCGGGTGAATTCATACTAGGTACACATTCGGCAGGAACAGAACGCGACTCTTTTCTTTCTTCGACCTCTTGAGAAATTGCCGGTTTTTTAACAAAAATCATATCCAACCAAATGATAGGCGTGGCCGGGGACTAAATTTTATATATCTTTCATCTTAATCTTTTTTCGCCGGAGAGCCGGCGTGGCAGACGAGCGAAACAGCCTGCAGAACAATATGTTGGCGACAGTCTATGATGCGTGTACTTGAGTCCTGCCAATAAATCTGGCCTTCATTTTTCAAATGGCTTTGAACTCGGATATGGGGTTCTATTCAGTGAATTGGGCCTTCAGTTATCTCTAAACCCAAAACGCTGCAAGCTCAAACCAACCCCAAAGATTTCCCTTGCCCCTCTACAGGCATTTGACGAGCCTTTTCGACCCCGAATAATTCAGATGCACTCATTAAACAGGTAAAACATGTCCACGCACCTGGTAATTGAACTGGCGCACATTTATATTGATGCATAGTATATACCGAATTCTCTGGTGGAACTTCTCAGTTTATGTAGGTACCTGTCAGCCGTGATGGATTTTGGAACGTCGGAACCTAACCTTATTTCCCCAGCTAAGGTTCACGTGTTTCGCTCGTTCCATGGTTCAGGTTCAGGACCGTTATGACTATTAAATTATTCTAACCCTATTAGTATATCGGCAGGGAAACCACAGGCTGCTTAATCTGTCTCCTCGATCCCAGTTCCATCGTTAGGTATTAATATATGAATTAAGTTGTCAGTGAATTAAAAAAAAAAAAAAAAAAAAAAATCATATTTACCCAACAAAGCCCAGCCCATCAAACAAAGTAAGCGAGCGAGAGAGAGGGTATGTGTGTGAGTGATCGAACTCAATAAGCAAATCTCTCCCTGCCCGATAGTCGTAACCGCCGATTCTTCCACCCATAGTACCCCCTCAGCGCCAAACACCCTACAGTAACGAGCAGCAGCAGGGCTGCATTCGTCCAATGGCCCGTCGGATACCCGCGCTTTGCCTCGTCCGACTTGTAGATCCATACTCCAACGATCTGGCCTGGAGCACCAAAGGAGACGTTCAGCGCGATTGCGAGGCCTGTCCCCGCTGTGGAGCGGATGTTGGATGAGAGCCACCCGAGCAATGGCGGGATGCAGGCGAAAGAACCACTTGTTGCGACGATTAGGCAGCCGTAACGATGCTGTACGGGGCGACAAAGAAGCTATTGTTAGTGGACTAACAGGGTTGAATGGACGGTCGGGGGAAACGTACGAGATATGCGTCTGCTGGGAGAACGGCGGAGGCGAGGAAGCCCATTGCACCAACAAAGGCGAGAGCCGCGGAATGGAGGCCACGGCTGGAAATGGATGTTAGTAATGCCGTGCCCGCTGATATAGCTGGGAACAGAGGTTAAATACCTATTGAAGTAGTCTGCGGACCACGCGACAGCTGTCGTTACGACGTACGCCACTGCCCATGGAGGCACTGTCATGAGCTGTGCTTTCAGGCTGGTATATCCGAGTCCGCTGGTAATTGAAGGGGTGAAAAGTGAGAGGCTGGAGAATGGCGCTGAGATACCAAAGTAGACCTGTTTAAGTAGGGTTGTTAGAGACGAGTCTTTTTTCCTTTTCTTCCCCCCCCCCTTTTTTTTGGTTGGACTGCGTGAACAAATTGCAGAGGACTCACGAGGTAGTGTGCGTATAAACGCCAGTCAAAGAGGACATCTTTGGCGTCTTGCCATGTCATCGCATGGGCACCACCCTTAGACCCTTCTACTTCAAGACGCTTCGCGGCAAGTGCCTTCTCGTCCTCGGATAACCAAGATGCAGTTTCGGGGTAATCGGGGAGTATAAACCAAACGAGGAAGGCGGAGACGCAGGACGGTGCGCCCTCGATTATGAAAAGCCAGCGCCACGCTGATAAACCGTGGGCCATATTCATATGCCCGACACCGTAGGCGATGGCACCGCCGAATGCGCCTGCTAGGGTTGCTGAGGCGAGGATTAAAGCTACGCGCAACGAACGTTCCGAGGTTCGGTACCAGAAGGTTAGGAAATAGACGAAGCCCGGGAAGAGGCCAGCTTCGAGGACTGGTGGGGATTAGCATTAGGCTGCGTCCGATTTGATTGCAGGCGCTGGATACCTCCAAGAAGAAAACGCAGTCCCGTCACTTGCGCGTAGTTGTGTGCCCCGCCTAACCCCATCGTGACAGCCCCCCATGACAGCATCAGGAACGCGATCCATCTCTGTAGATATCCGTGTTAGAGGTTGCGCTATACGGCTGCGGCATGGCTACGAGAGATACGCACGCTCGGTCTAAGCTTCTTGAGGAAATAGTTGGAGGGTACTTCGAAGAGGGCGTAGGCAATCAAGAAGACCATCAGTGCGATCCTAGTGGGGTAAGTGATGATCGAGAACGAGCAAGGAGAGCACGCACGTATATTCGTAAGAGGTCATGTTCGTTTCGGTAAGGAGATCATTGCCAGTCTCCGCATTCATAATTTTGGCATTTCCTAAGACTGGTAAGTAACCGACTGGTAATCGTGATCGATTAAGTCGAGCATACCGATATTCGATCGATCCAGATAGCAAAGGAGGTAGATAAAGGCGGAGAGAGGAACGATATGCAAATCTTATACACGCATGTAAGTACCGTGTACATCTCTTGCTGAGCAGGCGAACAAATGGGCGTGCGAAATACCTTGCTTCCATATCAATGCCTTATTCCGAGCCTGAAGGTCGGGGCCACTGTCATTGCACTGGAACAGTTGTATTAGCCCTCCTTTCAGAACCATAGAGCTTAAGCTACTCACGTTGAGTGCTAATTCTGCGTCAGTCGCATTGATCGCGCCATCCGGAGTGATCTCTTTCTCACTCATCGCGGCGGGGATACAGTATGTAGGATAAGTGGTGCAAGGGCAATCAACAATTTTTTTTCGGGCCCCTACGAGACTTAAGTGCACGCGCTGCCCGCCAGGGACTCCAACCCCCACATGGTCCGAGTTGGGCTAGATCTCGGGGTAAGCCTAGCGAACTCGCGAGTCGCGAATGTCGGTCAACCTCCGATCAATCTCAAGTTTGGTTTGGGGCCCGCCGCAGTTGCTTATAGGGTGATGAGAACTGTTCTCGATCAGCACTGGTCCACCCGTCATCCGATTTGTTCATACCATGGCTTCAGTGTAATAATATCGTGATTCAAACTGCATTCACATTGTGGAACGTCATAGCATATTTAGTAGGCGACTCATTGCACTGGTTTGGGATCGGTCAAACAAAGATTCGCAGGAGTCATCCAATTCTAACGTGCGCCAGGTAAGAGACGAGGCCAATAATCTATAAGACCCAAACCTTTGCAACTGCTTCATTACTGTAGTCAAAACATGATTCCACGAATAGCTACACTGTCTGGAGTTAGACCTTGCGACAGTCGTTGACAATAAAGGAACTTACTCATCTTGCATACCCGGATTCAAAGAGCTGGCCATTCCGGCCCCTGTCTGTGTCTTCGTATCAAAGTGACATCGCCTAGAGTTATTGGGAAGTCCAACGAGAGCAAGCCTTAGCTTGAAGGGCGATTGCAATTTATCAAGAAGGTTGCTGAAGAGACAGAAGCATCGCGCAAGCCCAGGCCGAACAACCAGTATTATACCAGTACGGCTCGGTAATATACAGAGATAAGGCATTGCAAACAGTGCAAACGGCCCTCGAAATTATCCAAGAGACCGTGGACACTTGACGCTTCAAGTTGGCTCCGGGAAGCTATAAACTTTCTTTAATGCAAAATATTCGGGCAAGCCGTATAGTATTACATCCGTTTTATCCCGCACCAAAAGCAACCTCGCCGTCGCCTCCCCGGTCCATGTCCACAACCCCGCCGCGGAAGGCAATGCCTTCAGCATTGACCTTTGACCTGCATCGCAAGTGCTCTGTAAGCAAGAGCCATTCAACTGCCGGTTCTTTTGCTGATAATGTGTATACATAGACTACGAAAGCCCGCGCTAGCACCCTCCACCTCCCTCATGGCTCCGTTCCTCTGCCGATCTTTATGCCGGTTGCGACGCAGGCCTCCCTCAAAGGCCTTACATACGACCAACTAAAACAGACTGGATGTATGCTATGCCTAAATAATACGTATCACTTAGGGCTGAAGCCTGGACAGGCGGTACTGGATGAGGTAGGAGGAGCACATAAATTTCAGGGATGGGACCGGAATATTCTGACGGATAGTGGGGGGTAAGTTATACGAGCGAGCTCTCTACTCTGCAGTCGCTGATATTGTTAGGTTCCAAATGGTCTCTTTGCTAAAACTTGCAAAAGTTACGGAGGAAGGAGTTCGGTTTTTGAGTCCCCATGATGGTACTCCAATGTTCGTTTACACTTCTCACAGCTCCATTGGGCGTGCACACTAACTGATGCCAGGTTACTCACCCCGGAGCACTCAATTTCCCTCCAAAACTCCATTGGCTCCGACATTATCATGCAGCTTGACGATGTGATTGCGACGACCTCACCAGATCATGCACGAATCAATGAGGCGATGGAGCGCTCGGTCCGCTGGCTGGATCGGTGCATTGAAGCCCACAAAAACCCAGAGACGCAGAACCTATTTTGCATTATCCAAGGTGGCTTAGATTTGGAGTTAAGAAAACAGTGTTGTGCAGAGATGGTCGCTCGAGATACACCCGGAATCGCAATTGGGGGACTTTCAGGCGGAGAGGCGAAGGAGGAGTTTTGCAAAGTGTATGTTGATTCACAGACTTCTGGAAATAGTACTAACTGGAACTAAAAAGTGTTGACACCTGCACCGGTCTCCTTCCGGATCACAAGCCACGATATGTGATGGGCGTGGTAAGTCATTGCACAATGTTGCCCTAGGCAAAATACTGACGAACTTGTAGGGATACCAGGAGGATTTGGTTATAGGTGTTGCCCTCGGCGCAGATATGTTCGACTGCGTTTGGCCAACCAGAACTGCCGTGAGTACTTCTTTCTCCGTATCGGGCGCAACGCTGAGCGTAAATAGCGCTTCGGAAACGCTGTGGTCTCTACAGGGAATCTCAACCTTCGTCACGCATCATTTGCACATGACTTCAGGCCTGTCGATGAAGGATGCGGCTGCATGACATGCAAGCGCAGAGATGAGGGAGGCCTCGGCATTACGAGAGCATATATCCACCACCTGGCGTCTAAAGAGACGGCCGGGGCTCACCTGTAAGTGATCTCTACCGAATTCGGAGTTTGCTGCTAATATAGAAAGACTCACCATACACAATGTGCATTACACCCTTAATTTGATGGGGAGGGTGCGGCAAGCTATTCTAGATGATCAATTCCCAACTTTCCTCAAAGGCTTCTTCCTGAAGTTGTACGGAGAGAAGTCCAAGATCCCCTCTTGGGTAGTGGGCGCCTTGCAGGGGGTAGGGGTTGATTTGCTAGAAGATTAACGTTAAATTAATTGCACAAAATATATCCCTCGCATGCTTAATAGATTTTAACCATAGTATAGAGCATAAACCTAAGGAACTTACCAGAAAGTATATATGTCCCAAACGGGTAGTTGGCACGTGATTACGTGACGCGCCTTGGTCGCGTTTCTTTTCCAAACTTCGATGACGATGTCCAGTCACTTCACCTCAAACTCCATATTCAGCTTACAATCATACAATAATAGCCTAGAAAATGACACTCTCAAACGACATCCAGCAGGGCAATGGTGCCGCTGCCACACCACCTCAAATACCCCAAAACCCCTCCCATGAAGAACACCAGTACTTAAATCTAATCCGCCAAATCCTCACCGAGGGCGAACACCGACCCGACCGCACAGGCACCGGAACACGCTCCATATTCGCTCCACTTCCTATGCACTTCTCGCTCTCGAAGCCCGATCCAGCGAATGTAGGATCGAAAATCCCTGTTCTACCCCTCCTCACCACAAAACGTGTTTTCCTACGCGCCGTCCTCGCCGAACTCCTCTGGTTCATCTCAGGCTCGACATCGTCCATCCCCTTATCCGAGGCGGGTATCAAGATCTGGGACGGAAATGGCTCGCGCGAGTTTTTGGATAATGTCGGTCTTTCACACCGGGAAGTCGGCGATCTAGGCCCTGTTTACGGGTTCCAGTGGCGCCATTTCGGCGCTGAGTATGTGGATGCTCATACTGATTACACTGGACAAGGTGTTGATCAGTTGGCCGACGTTGTGAGGAAGATTAAAGAGACGCCGTTTGACCGACGGATTATCATGTCGGCGTGGAACCCCGCGGATTTGAAGAAAATGGCCCTCCCACCTTGTCATATGTTTGCTCAGTTTTATGTCTCCTACCCTGAGGGCATCGAGGAAGGGAAAGGCAAAGGCAAGGGTGAATTGAGCTGTTTGTTGTACCAGCGGAGTTGTGATATGGGCCTTGGTGTGCCGTTTAATATTGCTTCTTATGCACTGTTAACGCACATTATTGCGCATGCTACGGATTTGAACCCAGGCAAGTTGATCCACACGATGGGCGATGCTCATGTATATCTGGATCATGTGGAAGCTCTGCAGGAGCAGCTGACGAGAGAGCCGACTGAGTTCCCCGAGTTGAAGATTAAGAGAGAAGATCGCGGTAGTGGTGTTATTGATGGATGGGAAGAGGAAGAATTTGAGGTTATTGGGTATCAACCTCACAAAGCGATTAAGATGAAGATGAGCGTTTAGATGGTAGAGGCTAAATTTTAGCATATGTATATAGGTAGAAGAAAGATTCCCAACGCCAACATAGAGTGTATCATGCTATGCAATGCCAAGGATATCAAGAGCTGAAATGACCCAAAAATGGGGGAAATAAGAAAAAAAAAATCACTTCCCCAACATCACTCCAGCACCCCTCAATAAAACGATAGTATCGCCCGATTTCACTTTCCCAGCTCCGAGCGCATCCGAAAACTCCAAAAAGTCTCCACTATCAACATGGAACAGTCGTAAACGTGCCTCCTCCCCAGCCCGATTATTCACATTCTCAACCCCCAAGCGCTTCGCCGCATCATCCAACACCCTGCCTACCTTCCACCGTGAGTCAAACCAAAAGTCACCATTTGGTGGGTCCACTCCCTGCGTCTCTGAAGTTCCTACAACATGTAGGTACACTCGCTTGTCAGCAGGAACACTTGGATCACCCTTGGCAGCTTTCTTGAGGGCGTTGACTTGGACAGCCCGCGCAGCAGGACTATTGGGCTTCGGCTTCGGTTTCACGGCAGCGGCGGCAGTAGCAGCAGCCTGGCTCCTATCCTTTCCCCATGAGCGGACACGCGCGAACATCGACCGGATCGTCTCATTCGGGGCCCCAGCTGCGCCGCTGCCTAGTCGCGGGGCAATCTTGGCGCAATCATGTTCCTCCTTTAGGCGGTGTTTAAGACAGTATTCTCTCGAGCATTCCGGACAGCGAACACCAGGGTCCTTGAATGTATTGATCAAGGTTTTGCATGACACGTGCGCACACTGGTCGGAGTTGTAGATGGTGGGCTTTTGTGTTGGCGTGCTGTTGGCGGATTGTTGGGTTCCGTTTCGGCGGCGCGCCCATTCACCTTCTTGCGGGCAGCGGTGGGCGGTTTCGGTACGGTGGTCAAGACAGTATGTCCCACGGCATGACTCGCAGCGGAAGGGCAGGAAGTCGAGCTGGTTGCAGTATTCGTACTGACAATGGCGGCCTATGGACTCAAGGTCTTTGTCGGCCATTTGAGTGAACGACTCAGATTGTGAGCCGCCATTGCCTTTGGTCATGGAAATTGGAGACATGGTTGTGAAAGGAAGACCGGTGATAAGGGCGGGAAAGAAGAAAAAGAGAGAGAAGAGAAGGAGGTAAAACACCTACCTCCTCTATATTTAACCGCAAACGAAAAAGATGGTGAGATTGATTAGAAACGAGAGACAGATGCTGCTGGAAGCCGCTGGCAAATGCGGAGGCTGACTCAGCCCTCCAATTTTCCCAAAATCTATCCATGGCCATCGCGGTCCTGGAGACTGAAGAATAGGTTACAAGCGTCATTAACATGTCCATCGTTTTTATAGTAAGATTTAGGTATGGCATAGACCTTTATTGTTGGAAGCGACATTCTACTCTGTTGTCAAGCATGGCGCTTCTGAGCTAGGAACGAACTCTCAAGGTCTAACTCTCGCATTATAGGCCACCTACAAATGACGTACACATTCAGGTTGGAGTACAGGTCGGCAGGTCCACGGTTTAGATTTTTGCAGCGTTCAATAACATTTTTATCTAACCCATGTAAGAGACCAAGTTGTTATATGATGATCTCTCGCGATCATCTCAACTATATATAAACTCCCCGGCCATGCTCGTTTATTATTGAATGCGAAAGTACCATGTCGGCGACTCAGGCAATGGCCCTCCAGGGTGTGATCAAAAATGGCTGTCAACATGACGATTGATACCTGAGTAGCGGTTGAGCTCGGGGTGCGATTCGGTGGGGCTTGTCGATTGACACTCCCCAAGTCTGTCCAGTCATCCACCGTATGGGACTTCGGGTCGGGTTGGAGAGATCTGCGCAGCTGTGCGGGGAAGTCGCAGCCTCGCCGTTCTCAACGTCAAGACTCAAAAGCCAAGGGTCAGGGCTCAAGGGGCGGCTGCTTGAAATGCCAAAAATAAACTCTTGGTTCCTGGCGTTTCTCCTTTGTTTTCGTAGCTTGAGCTCCGTCGACGGCAGAGTCATGGAGTCATCAGGTAGCGCCCTGAAAGTGGAGGCGAGGCTGAGTCTGTCGTATCAGAGGAGGCTATCAGGGGGTCGCGTGTGGCAGAGCAGGCTGCCCAGGCGGGGATCTAACCCAACTGGGCAGCGAGGCAGCTTACTTATCTAAGTCCGCCGGCCAGGCCCCCAACCCATCTGAGACTCTGACGCAAATGAGTCTGCCTTTCTTTCCATATTGTCTCTACCTTATATAATAGTCATCCGCCGTCGGCATTGGACGGGGCTACCATACCTTTTGGAACATATCTTGGCCTGATTGCTTGTCTTGAGGAGTTGTCCGATTAACGAAGACCTCCTTCCTCAGCCTGCGACACTTGCCTGCAGCACAGGACACCCCTCAGTCAGCAGCTGTCATTTGAATGCCCTTCCAGGCCTCTCCGAGCTGTTTAATTGACTCCCGTGTCCCCGCTCTATATTTTTACAATCCATCCTTCTCGCTATTATTAACGAGCAATCGTCCTTAATCATCTTAATCTTCTCGGCCATGAAGATCTCAACCGCGCTCGCCCTGGGCGCTACCGCTTCCACTGGTGCCTGGGCCTACGCCATCCCGCAGCAAGATGTGATAGAGAACCCTCATATTCACCATGAGCAAGAAAAATACCTAATTGAGCTCGCTCCCTATCAAACAAGATGGGTAACGGAGGAAGAAAAGTGGGCCTTGAAACTCGTATGCCTCTCCGGACCTTCCTGGGTCTTTGCTGCTGCTAACCGCTTCTAGGACGGCGTGAACTTCATTGATATCTCAGAAGACCGAAACTATGGATTGTACCCAACGCTAGATGCCGGTGCCTATATCAATTATCCGAAGGAGATGGAGCACATAGACAAGGTTAATGGGCTCATTGATGGCTTATCCAAGGAAAACATGCAGAAGGACCTTGAGAAATTCACCTCTTTCCACACGAGATACTACAAATCGTCGGATGGTGTTGAGTCCGCCACATGGCTGTACAAGCAGGTGCAGAAAGTGGTCCATGATTCAGGAGCTGATGCGTCGGGTGCGTCTGTCGAGAAGTTCGCACACCCTTGGGGTCAGTTCAGTATCATTGCCCGCATTCCCGGTGTATCGAACAAAACTGTTGTCCTGGGTGCACACCAGGACAGCATAAACTTGTTCCTTCCGTCTCTTCTAGCTGCCCCAGGCGCTGATGACGATGGAAGTGGGACTGTTACAATCCTTGAGGCCTTGCGTGGTCTGTTGAAATCAGAAGTCATTTCACAGGGAAAAGCGCCAAACACAATCGAATTCCACTGGTACTCAGCAGAAGAGGGTGGAATGCTTGGTTCCCAAGCTGTGTTCTCCAAGCACAAACAGGACAAAGTGGATGTTAAAGCCATGCTCCAGCAAGATATGACCGGGTATACTAAAGGCTCCCTTGATGCTGGCTTGGATGAAGCCATTGGGGTGATGACTGACTATGTTGATCCCGAGCTCACGACCTTCCTCAAGGCCACCATTAATGCCGTAAGTGCAGACTAATCAATTTATTCTAGTCTTTCGCTGATCGACTTCTTCTAGTACTGTCGTATTGGCTTTGCCGATACCCGATGCGGCTATGCCTGCTCTGATCAGACCTCAGCAAGCAAGTACGGATACCCATCAGCCATGGCCACAGAGTCCAAGATGGAGAACAGCAACAAGCACATTCACACCACCGACGATAAGATCAAATATCTGAGCTTTGACCACATGCTGGAGCACGCAAAGCTCACTCTTGGATTTGCCTATGAGCTCGCTCTCGCCGACCTCTGAGCTCGGTATCACCTCGGATCTCTCTTTATGACTTAATGCTTATAGTATTATTAACGAGGCCTGGTCGTATTAGCTATGAAATGGGAATAATGCAATGAAATGCTTTTCAAGGCCGCTTCACGTTTATATTCTCAATGCTCCATAAACTCGTAGTGCTTTCAACGTAATATACCCTTTGACTGATATTTATGGGATGTGCCTTAGGCTTATTATGGTAAAATTGATTTGGAGTTGCCACGCATGAATTAAACAAGTCGTGGGCCATACTACACAGCGCTAATTTCTATACATCGCTATCCGAACGGTGCATCTCGGTAGGTATCAATAGAAATATAGTAGGCATTCTATTAGTCCATAAAGTCATCGCGATGGGCTAGACTCAGTAAAGACCTTCCTCGGCGAAAAGGAGATCTCATATATTGATTATGGATTTGGAGCCTAGGGCGGTACTAGTAATAGTCGGGGTTGTCGTAGATTTGTTCCTTTTGAAAAAGCACTACCTGGAAATATCTCCATTCATCCCAAATTCCCTCAAATGGGCTTGGTGCCCCTGCATACCTGTAATGAAAAAAGGAACGGGCAAATCGGGCAGTTAGCCAGCTGACGAGCTTCGCGCGAGTAAGCTCATTGGTCCCAAGACTGGCCGCCCCATCGAAGTGAAAAGACAAAATTTCCTTAAAAGCGGTATCTTTATAGGGGAAATATAAATGAGACACGTTGTAAGCTGGATCAATATTTGCTCAAGGCAAACTGACGGGGTTGTGTTTGGGGNTAGGAAAGAAGTCGAGTTTTTTTTTTTTTTTTTTTTTTTCTTGTTTTATAATTGAACGGACTTGGAAACTATTATGGCTCATTGGTTATGTTTTATATTTTGCACACTCCTACCTATGTCACAAAGCAGCATGTAGCTACGGATATTAAAGGCCATTGTAACATGGTTCCAAGTTTACTGAGTTATGTGCCTTTGGAGTTATAATTTCTTCAGCAAAGATCATTGTCCCCAAGATACAGATGATGAATGAATAAAGAATCCTGCTATATTTTACTCACTAGGACAGTTAGGTCAATCTATGCCCAGATCTTATGCTCAGTGAGTCTTCGTGTTTTAGGGCATCGATCAAAAGGCGACAGTCCAGAGGAGACAGAGCACAGCCAATGAAAGGTGAGAGAGAGCATCCTGAGATCCACTGCCACCGGCGGGCTTGGCGCTGCAGTATCCTGCCAGCGGGCAGTCGGGAATGAAAACCTCTTCATAATCCTCAATTATTCTCTATCTCATTCACCGCTTAATTAAAATGGATGGCAACGGCCCCTACTCAAAGGAGCTGCAAATTGCTTGCTTAGCGGTACAGAGAGCCGCGCTCTTGACAAAGAAGCTTATAGCAGCCGTCGACAAAGGGTCCCTCGACAAGAGCGACGACACCCCGGTCACAATCGCTGATTTCGGGGCGCAAAGTCTAATTATTGCCGCGATCCATAATGCGTTCCCGGATGATGAAATTGTCGGCGAGGAAGACTCAAAAACCCTCCGTGCGCAGCCGGATTTGCTTGAACGGACCTGGGATCTAGTTTCGTCTACTCGTCTTGAGGACGAGGAAAGTGAAAGGCTACTCACTGCGCCTAGCTCGAAGGATGAGATGCTTCGCCTGATTGATCTTGGTGCGCTGGGCAACTGCAAGCCGCGAGGCCGGACATGGGTTCTCGATCCCGTTGACGGGACGGCGACCTTTATGCGGGGTCAGCAGTACGCTGTTTGCTTGGGCCTTGTGGAGGATGGGAAGCAGAAGCTTGGTGTTACGGGGTGTCCGAATCTCAATTTGGAGTCTGGGTCTGTCCATGAGGACCTCGCGGACCGGGCAGGGCATGGAGTCTTGATCTTCGCAGTTGATGGGCAGGGTGCGTGGCTGAGACAGTTGGGGACTGGTTCACTTCTTCCAGCCACGAGGCTTGAACCGAAATCGCAAATCACAGAGTTCCAAGATATTCAGTTTGTGGATTGCAAGGCTGCGACGTCCTCGAACTATGAGCTGCATGGGGAGCTTGCGGAGAGGCTTGGAGCCCCGTGGCCGCCCAGGACGGATCTATGGTCTGCACAACTGCGGTATATTGCCATCGCCGTTGGGGGTTGTAACGTGCTCATCAAGATTCCACGGAAAGCTTCGTATCGCTCAAAAGTATGGGATCACGTGGGAGGTATGCTAATAGCCACGGAGCTAGGCTGCCAGGTAAGCGACTTAAAAGGAAACCCTGTTGATTGCAGCTTGGGAAGGACCCTAGAGGGGTGCGAGGGGATGATAATTGCGCCAAAGTCCATCCACGGCAGCCTCGTGAAAGCTGTGGAACAGATGCAGTGAAAGGCGCAACGGGTCAGCAGCCTGGTGCGGATTCATACCTTGCTATTTTCATGATCTTCCGTCTTTTTGCTGGGGGCGTCTTTTACCTTTCAGCTTACGCTCGGTTTCCTCTGTTTCCTACCTGAGTAAAGATGATCTCGCCGTGCAGATTGGCGACAAAACATTTCGGTACTATGGGCTCCGGAGTCAGGTGTTTACTAGCATCTTTTGAGTTGGTTGCATATTTTTTACAGTAGCTTCTTGCTAGCTACAATCATTGCCCCGCAATATACTCATTTGCCCACTATTTCCCAGTAACTAAAACGGGACACGGCCGTCAAACGGCTGTTGTATCCATCTCCGTAGTCAACACCGTACTACTGATGGAGGGTGAGGCACAGACAAGGCAGTGCACGGATCGACAGCGCAGAACGAGCAGAACAGACTATGTTTGGCTGAAGGATTCCAGTTGTTGGTCGCTTTGACAAGCAAGACTGAATTTCAGACAGTGGCTAACCTAGAAACGCATGGCGGATCATATTTGAGCCAGTGAGGGGGAAGATATGTTGTCAGGAGACAACTGTGTTGCGTGCGGGGATGGTGGGAGGCACGATTCTTGCTAAATTGTCGTCATCTCACATTATAAGAGTGTTCATGCACCCTGTATCATATGAACCCTTCTCGTTTCTTTTTTCTTGGTGTTTTTTCGTCTTCACTGAGGCTATTCAAGTACCACCATGAGTTCGTGTGTGTTGCACCCTCCTGGCCCCGCAGGCTTTATATAGTCCGTGGCTTAGTATAGGCCTACCTACTAACAACTGCTTACCCCTCAGACAATGCTTACAATCCTTTTGCTAGGCGCGAGGGGCACAGCCCGGCTTCGCTGAATTCGTATCGGGTTCTCGCACCTCTCTCGTGGGCTCTAGTAATCGTTTTTGGGATCTTCTATTCCATCCATAAGCCTGCCGATGTGTCAAACAGCTGGACCCTCTGGTCTCAGTTTGAGCAGCGATCGACTGCGTTCAGTGTTAACATTGTCGTGCTAGCAATTTACTGGTACGATTATGCTCTATAGACTCCCTCTTCGCTAGCGCATATCGGTAACACCTTTGCAGGATCCTTCTGCTCCTCTCCCAGATTGGATACCTGATCCAACTCTTTTCCAAGGATGCAGCGATTGTCACTGTTGCAGCCAACGCGGCGTCGCATTTCATTCTAAACAACCTCTTCGTCTTCGCGTGGATTCTCCTCTGGACCAGAAACCATTTCTGGCCAGCCGAGGTTATTCTGATCGCCCACTTCATCCACCAGCACGTCGCCTTCTGGAGGATCCGCTCCCTACCGCCGCTGTCGCATCTAGCGGTCATTGCAGGCCCATACGCCTGGACTTTGATCGCGCTCTTCTGGAACGGAGCCGCGGCAGTTTGGAGTCACACTCCAGCTGCTGAGATCGCCGCTAACGTTTTCATCTGGATCATCTTCGTTATAGGTGCCACTCACATCATCGTGCCGGTAGATGAACTGGTCGGATACAGTCTGAGTCTGCTGCTCTTCGGTAAGTTCTCCACGTAACCCCCTGTATATTGGTGGTTGATTGCTAATTTACATCCGAATCACAGGTGTGGCCATCGCTCAAACCGATAAAAAGGCCAGCTTTCCCAGACAATGGATCTTTGCGTGGGTTATTTTCGCGGTTTTCCTGCTCGACTCGATCTACTTGACATTTGTCAAGTCTACCAACCGGGACATTTTCTTCAGGAGTGCTGGGGAGCCAGAAGCGAGCCAGGGCGATCCTGAGAGGGCGCCATTGCTACCGGAGCCGCGTGAACCTGCTGCGGCTGCTTGAATATCGCAATGATCGGTTCCGTTTGCGCTTGATGAGACGGATATGGATATGGCGAGGCTATTGAAGAGAAGAAAAAACTTCTAGGATGGTAGAATTAGGATACGGATTGGCGATGATGCTATGCTCTTGCTCTCTATTGGATACCATTTACTGTTGTTGTCTGCAGTGGTTCACTGTGGAGGATCGCCCCAGGTCCATGGGTCTGACTTTTTAAGGCTCGCGGGTCCACGGCGTCCACAGATCGCTCGGATGGATTGTAGGTTTATTTATAAGGCTTTTCTGAATGCAATAATCTTCGCTCTCAAATGTAATACGTCCCCTGTTTGATCAGGAAGTGGTGTTGGTGCACGAGACCCGACCGGGCGAAGGTTCAACTCCAGTTCCCCTTGGGATTCTCCCTCTCCCTTCATGAACACCATACGAACACACAACCACGAGCGCAGATCGAGATTGACAAAGAAAAAAAAAAAAAAAAACAGCTGTGAGACACACCACGAGCGACTACTGGCCAGACAGCTGGGCGAAAAATGAAGAACATGCAAGGCACCGGAAAAGTCCAAGCGTTGCCCCGCCCAGCTCCCTCAAACTCCTGTTGCCCTGGCGACCGCGCCTCCACGCAGCTCCATGGCGATTGAGCGTGCGATCGCTCGAAGCGCCGTCAGCAAGGAAAGAAAACATTAAAGACCGGAGAAAAGCTCATCTGTGCCTTGCGCCCTTCAAACTTTCCCTGTCGCCTGTTGGTCTGGTACCTGGTCTCGTTGATTGTCGCCTTTGTTTATAAGCAGCACCTTGCCCAGTCCAAGGTCAATATACTTGGTTTGACGACTGGTATTTGCACTCTTCAGTACTTCGAGACCTCGATTCTTGACGATTATCCCGAATAGCTCGCTATTCACTCGACGACTCCTGGGAGTTGCCCTGCTCCCCCCACTGTAAGACACATTCTTTCTATGTCCCGAAGAATGCAGAGGCGGAATTCTAACCTGATGAAACGACAGTAGACGTCTGTTTCAACATCAAAGAGCATGACAAATTAGTCCGTCTACGAAGCAATCACTATGAGCCAGCCTCGTATACCTTACGGCCAGGACGAGGATCCTCCGGCTTATAGCTATGGAGGGTCCTATCTGTCGGATAACGATGAATCTCCGATGCGTAACAGCGGTCCGACGATGCGGCTGCTCCCAACCAGCTCTCAGGTCGAATCGACTGGTTACTCTCAGATTGAATCTGATGTGAGCGCGGACTTGGGTGCTGCTTCAACTTATCGATATGGAGATCCGTTCAGTGATGATAATCAGTGAGTTCTCCCAATTATCCCAGTCAATCCGCCACCCAGACCAGCGTGGCATGCCGATGATTCAATCTGGTATTTTGGCTCCATGTTCCGGTTGCCATCCCTTGTCCCGGCTGTCAACACACGTATCTATCCTGTGGGGTTATGTATTGAATTTTGTTGCTTGTCGCTCTTGACCTTTCCTTCAGAGACATATTGATGCGAAAATGTCTTGTCCGCGAGTAACAAAAGCTAACGGTAACCGCTACCGCAGGACGGAAAGCAGATATGCGGGTCGGTACTCCTATGAATTTGACCGCGAAGAAACGATTACACGCCCTGCTTCAAGCCTACGAAATGCGCCCACTATCCCTCCGCCCAGCGCATCGGTTGCAGACGAGATGCACTTTTCCTCTCGCCCTGCCTCACCTACACGGCCCTGGTCCCCTACCCGTGGGCCAGACTGGGTTAGACCTCCATCCGTGGCTGGCTCACAATACGAACGCGCAGACCTGAATGGTAGTCCCCGGCCTGGAACCCCTAGTTCGAGATATGGTGGGAGCCCTAGGCGACCCCTCCCACCGGCTCCCTTATTTTCGAAGCCAGGAGCAGGCGCGCGGGATACGAAAATTGATATTGGTGATGACGAAGACGACGACCCATTTGGCGGTGGAGGACGGACGATAAATTCTCGCCATGGAGGCCGAGGTAGTGTTCAATCATTCACCAGCGGGTCAACCATCATTACGGATGAGAGAGATCTTGAAAAGGTTGACCTAGAAGAATACGATGACGATGAAACTAATTCCATGGTTGACCCCAACCTGCACTACGGACCAGCTCCAGAGAAGCAGGGACGCCGAGGTGTCCGTGATGCACAGGTGTCGAAGAAAGAGGTCCAGCTGATCAACGGTGAGCTGATCTTGGAGTGTAAGATTCCTACAATCTTGCATAGCTTTTTGCCGCGCCGAGATGACCGAGAATTTACACACATGCGGTACACTGCTGTAACCTGTGACCCGGACGATTTCACGCAAAGGGGCTATACGTTGCGCCAGCAGATTGGAAGGACGATGCGTGAGACTGAATTATTCATCTGTGTCACCATGTACAACGAAGACGAAATTCATTTTACGCGGACCATGCATGGTATCATGCGAAATATCAGCCACTTCTGTTCTCGGTCCAAGTCTCGTACTTGGGGTAAAGACGGGTGGAAGAAGATTGTGGTCTGTATTATTGCAGACGGACGCAAAAAGGTGCATCCGCGGACACTGAATGCTCTAGCGGCTCTGGGTGTCTATCAAGAGGGTATTGCGAAGAACATTGTCAACCAGAAACAAGTCAACGCCCACGTTTATGAATACACCACTCAAGTATCGCTCGATTCCGACCTCAAATTTAAGGGAGCCGAGAAAGGAATCGTACCTGTCCAGGTGGTTTTCTGCTTGAAGGAACATAATCAGAAAAAGCTGAACTCACATCGTTGGTTCTTCAACGCTTTCGGTCGCGCCTTACAACCTAACATTTGCATCCTACTCGATGTTGGTACAAGGCCAGAACCTACGGCTCTGTACCACTTGTGGAAGGCCTTTGATCAAGACTCCAACGTCGCTGGTGCAGCTGGTGAAATCAAGGCAAGCAAGGGCAAAAATATGCTCGGTCTCTTGAATCCCCTAGTGGCAAGCCAAAATTTTGAATACAAGATGTCCAACATTCTGGACAAGCCCTTAGAATCAGTGTTTGGTTATATTACCGTGTTGCCGGGTGCGCTCAGTGCATACCGATTCTTTGCCTTGCAAAATGACGCTGAAGGCAACGGTCCTTTGAATCAGTATTTCAAGGGAGAAACACTGCATGGTAAAGATGCAGATGTATTCACAGCCAATATGTACCTGGCAGAGGACCGTATCCTCTGCTGGGAGTTGGTAGCTAAGAGGGAAGAAAGATGGGTCCTGAGATTCGTGAAGAGCGCCGTTGGAGAGACTGACGTTCCCGGTATGTACCTAACTTGTGGCATCCTATGGAAATTTGCTAACGATAGCTTAGACTCCATTCCCGAATTCATCTCCCAACGTCGTCGATGGCTGAACGGTGCCTTCTTCGCGGCTGTTTACTCAATTGTTAACGTTAAACAGTTGTGGAAAACCGACCATTCTATTGCGCGCAAGGTTCTGCTGCAGATTGAATCGGTATACCAGCTGCTTCAACTAATTTTCACTTACTTTGGTCTAGTACGATGCCCTTCTTTCTTCTGAGACGAGGAGTTTGAACTGACAATCATAGGCAAACTTTTACCTTGCATTTTTCTTCATTGCAGGTTCGCTTACGGATAAGAAGATGGATCCATTCGGCCACAATATGGGCAAATATATCTTTGTCGTACTCAGATATGCCTGTGTTTTGGTTATGTGTCTCCAGTTTATTTTCTCTATGGGTAATCGACCTCAAGGGTAAGTTTCCTTTTCATATCGGAGCCTTGGAACATTCTAACCAGTTTGCAGCGCCAAAAAGTTATACCTTTCCAGTATGATTGTGTACAGTATAGTCATGATTTACACGGCTTTCTGTACACTTTACTTGGTTGTGCTTGAACTCATGGCCAAAACGGGACATGATGTGCCACTTACGGTCAGCGACACACTTTTCGTGAACATTGTTATTTCTCTGCTCTCCACCGTCGGACTCTACTTTTTCACGTCGTTCATGTACCTTGACCCCTGGCATATGTTCACTTCATCGGCACAGTATTTCGCTCTGCTGCCCAGCTACATCTGCACACTACAGTGCTATGCGTTTTGTAACACCCACGACGTGACCTGGGGTACCAAAGGAGACAACTCGCTCAACACCGACCTGGGTACGGCCCGTATCATTAATGGCTCCATCGTGGAGGTTGAGATGCCTTCAGAGCAACTCGATATTGACAGCGGTTACGATGCTGCGCTCCGCAATCTTCGAGACCGCCTGGAGGTCCCCGACCCCGGGATTTCCGAAAGTCAACAGCAGGAAGACTACTACCGCGCAGTGCGTACATACATGGTTTCCGTGTGGATGGTGGCCAACGTGGTTCTTGCTATGGCCGTGTCCGAAGTTTATGGCGTCGGCTCGGGTGGTACCAATGTCTACCTCGCTATCGTCCTGTGGGCTGTAGCAGCCCTAGCGATTATTCGCGCCATCGGATCAACAACGTACGCTGTCTTGTATCTAGTCCAGAAGATTGTTGAGGGCAAAGCCAAGTTTGAAGCCGGAAATATCGCCAGCGCCAATGCCAGTGCGGCCGCAAGCTCAGTTGGTGGTGGGACAAAATCGAATATGTCCTACGGAAGCAAAGGCTTGAACGTGACTGACAAGATCAACGAAACCAAATGGGCATTTTCGAGGGCGATGCACAAAGCCATGTTTTGGAAGAAGTGATTCTTCCTTACCCCTCTGCCTTTTTTCCTTTATGTATTTCCTTGTGATGTGACCCTGATTCCCCAATGCCTCTTGCTATTCTATGTCAAATGGGAATATTGTGATGATATGACTGATTATTGATGGACGGGACTGCGATGATAATAAATAAATGTTTTTATGTACATATATCAACCTAAAGTGATAAGCTACTACAGACGGCCTCCAACATCGATCTTTTTCCAACTAAGACTAGTACATACGACCATAGGGTGTGGAAAACAGGGCTTCCCGTCCGCTCAGCCGTACTTAAGCCACACGCCGGCTGGTTAGTAGTATGGTGGGTGACCACATGCGAATCCCAGCTGTTGTATGTTTTTTGCTCAACCTTTTATTTTCCCTCTCTTTTGTCGGCCTTTTTGTAGCATGCACTCTCTCGAGTAAGGTCGTAAATATTATTGATGTGATTGGTGAAGAAAAGATTATGTGAATATAGTCATGTGACTTATGAGTACGGCAAGTTAGTGCAACCACTCATGCAGCACGAAAATAACTCCGCCACCGAAAGTGAAGGCCCGGAAGCGAGATCTCACTCAGTTCACTAACTTCAACCCTATTGATCACTTCACACTCCCCGCCCTCGGCTTCGGCATCATCACCGCTGTCTGTATTCCACCTTTCTACCTCTTTCTATTCTCTCTTAGACTTTTCAATACGTTTTGGAGTGTAAATCCTGTTCCTGGGACTATCTCTCTCGGCCAGGCATCTGTAGTTCATCCTGTCCAGTTCACGCTTCGGCCCATCTTGATCTCACCAACGCCCCTCTTCTTTCTTTTCTCACCACCCTTTCCCGTCTCTTTTTGCTTTCCCTTTTTTTATTTCATTTCTGGTATTTTGCTTAGTCCAAAGCCAAAATGAGCTCCGGCATACCGCCCTGGCGCGCCAGTGCGTCAGCAACCGTTACCACCGCTGTCTTTCCAAACCATGGTGAGTATTTGTTCCCCCACCTCTACTTATTCTGGGCTTTTTGCTAACCATATTTTAAAGCTACTCCGGCATATATACCGGTTCAAGCACGCCGTAGCCTTACCAAACCAGCCTCGAGTTCCACTGCCCCTGTTTCATCTCAGCCAGCAACGACCGCAGCAGACGCAGCCGACCGCAAGCGAGTAGATTGGCCGGATCCTGTCCGCACGTATGTACAACGGAGTTTCGCTCCTGATCAGCAAATTCCGGGGGTCACTAGGGAGGAGATGGAGACAAAGTTAAAATCGGTCATAACGAACGCAGCAGAGACCGACACGCTCGGCAAGATTGATTGGGAAACCCTACCATTGCCCCAGATCATGGTGCAGAATGATAAAACCAGGATATTGGCCAATCCCGAGGCCTCAACATGGGGATCGCCATACGCTACTGCTCCAACATACAAGCGAGATATACCTGGTGCCGACGACTTGTCTAGGAAAAGGAAGTCGGCTGAGTACCAAGCGGATTCAAACGCCTACCCGCCGTGGAGGCAAACTAACAGATCAAATGCTTTTGAAGATAGAATCACTTATTCCCCAACAGACAAACGGCAACGACTAGATTTCAAAAACTCAAGTAGTAAGTCCAAAGCTAATCTGGAGATGCGGAAGAGACGTTTTGAGGACCCCAGAGGAGGATATGGATCGTCGCCATCGTCACGAGGCGCTTCTCCAACGCCCGCCCCATCTGGCCCCGTGGTTGGAAGATGTCAGGACCTGGAGAAGCGTTATTTCCGTTTGACTTCGGCACCGAATCCAGATACAGTCCGGCCCCTATCTGTACTTGTGAAGACCCTGGATCTTCTAAAGAAGAAGTGGAAAAAGGACAACAACTATACCTATATTTGTGACCAGTTCAAATCGTTACGCCAGGACTTGACCGTGCAGCATATCAGGAACGAGTTTACCGTCAGTGTCTATGAGATCCACGCTCGTATTGCTTTAGAGAAGGGAGACCTTGGTGAGTATAATCAGTGTCAGACACAGCTGCGAGCTCTGTACACGCAGCAGCTGGGAGGTCACCCGACCGAATTCAAGGCATATCGCATTCTCTACTTCATCCACACGCGCAACTGGACGGCCATGAACGATGCGCTAGCCGATCTAACCCCAGCAGACAAGCAGAGTGGTGCTGTCAAGCATGCATTGGATGTTCGGTCTGCGCTGGCCCTTGGAAATTACCACCGGTTTTTCCAACTTTATCTTGATACGCCGAATATGGGAGCTTACTTGATGGATATGTTTGTTGATCGTGAGCGACTATCTGCTCTTTCCGCCATTTGTAAAGCGTGAGTGGTTGTTTCCATGTTACTTAAGACGCCTGCTGACTGTGACTCTAGATACAAGCCAGACGTAAACATCCGCTTCATCACTGAAGAGCTAGGCTTCGAGTCCGATGAGCAGAGTGCGCGCTTCATCCTGGACCATAGCGCGGAGGACATGCTATTGGAACAAGATGGAGCCGTCAGACTGCTTACAGGAGTCAGAACGGCTCAATATTTTGAGACGGCGAAAGCCAACGCCCATCGCGTGATTGATATCAAGGGTCAGATATAAGTGCCATTTCTCGATTTTCTCCATTAACTACGCCCACAACTCACCTTGATAATACCTCCCGCACGCATCGATTCTCCTCCCCACCTTCCTCGCTGTTTTGACCTCATTTCTTTTCACTTCTTTGCTTCTTTTCTCGCTCTGTTTGAATTCATTCTCGGGTGCCCGCATTTCGCTTGGCCCCTGAGACAGTATACCCCGTCAGTTGCAAAAGCCTCAGTACCTTCTACATCTTTATTCTGCGGTACGTTGGAGTTTGGGAGTGGATGGATGAGCATATTTCGGCCGATTGTACACAGCCAATGAAATACAAAAATGAATATTTAACCTTGGAGTCGTCTCTACTGGACCCCTTAAACCCCAGCACGTCAATTCGACGTGTAGACTGTGGACGAGGCCATGGACGCGTCGTATTCACCGTGCCCATATCGCACTAGTAAAGCAGATAGTAGCCGTTACGTATCTCGAGATATTGTATGGATCAAAAGTGGACAAGACAGACCCGCCGCCACGTTCTCGAACATAGCGGGTCCGGATAATTCTTTGAAACGCCGGTGTCGGATAAAGGACACGTCCATTTACACTTTGTGAGTATGGGGTATCTATACTCTTAACGGTTCCTCCCAAGTACGAACTTCGCCGGATCTGTAGCACCACCCAGCCAACCTGGAACTTAACTTTGAGCCGTTAGGTAGCCACTTACCGAACCCGGAAACGAGCTGCTAGGGATAAAGTTCACGACCGTTGAATCGACCAAAATTTCGGTTCAATCGAAGAGGCGGAAGCGGGGGGGGGCAGAAGAAGGACGAAAGAATGGAACCGAAGACCCCGATGGGAAGGGTAACCATGGCTGGAGGCGAGGTAGACGTCAGACGTTAACGCACGCGAAAGAGCCAAAGATTGCCGCCAGCCAAGCGAGATTGACCCTTTGTTAGCAAGCGCTTTGTTTGGTTGAGAACGGGGCAGGAAGGGAATAAAGGGCTTTCATCAGGCTTACAGGCGGGTGGTGGAAAGGAGGTATGGAACCTGGAGAGTGTGGTTGGGCTGAAAGAAGCTGGTTGAGGTTCTGTCAGTGTCACTGCCACTGCCATGGCAAGGTCACCTGATCTCCTCTTCCTTTTTTTGTTAAGGTGCGGCAAGATACAAACTGAGGATCTGGTGGCAATTCATCCTTGGCCTGTTACGGAACCAGCGAAGGGAAGTGCTGTCTAACCGTCTTGGTCAGAACTGAGTCACAAGAAGGCTGGAGAGACAGAGACGGCAGGGATGAGGTCAAGCTTCCAGGATACATTACTTTGGAGTCTTCAGGGTTCCAGTGCCCACTGCCGTGAAGCAGAGTGGGTAAGCCTGAGATGCAGCGGGGAAGCAGGGCCGGGTGGAATAATACAGTGTACTTTGCTTTAAATTTAGCGGCATAGTGGCTGGAGTACTTTGTAGGTTGTAGTATATTCGCTAGAATGCCATATAATTTAGGATTCTAGTCTCTGCCCACTGCTCTTCTGTGAACGTTGTGATATCTTCATTGGCTGTGTAAACCCACCGTCATCAGCCCGACTCCATACAAACTAACGCCATACTCGAGCTGCTTCGTCCCCCCGCGGCCCAAGTCGACGTAAGAGAAAGAGCCGGTCGCAGTAAGCTGGACACGCTTCTCCTGCATTTTCGACGCATCTTCCTTGCCTGTTGGCTGACCTGTCCGTCGAGATCAGCCTGTCCCAGCCGACTGGGATCTCCGCCACCTTTTTGAAGCGCCAGACTAGCAAATACTTCAATCTCAACTCCCAACCCCACGACCCCTTTTGGTGCCTCTCTGGTTCCTCAGCCACCGATATCCCTGGCGTTTTGCGCAGCATTCCATATCTTTCTGTGGGAAGAGGATCCGCCTGGTTCTCTGGTTCATCCACACTTGAGTTCAATCGAGAGAGGCGGGGGAGCCCTCCGGACCAGTGTTCTGTTTGATCTCCGTCCGTGGTAACTCAACGCACGGGAGCGAACAATTCTGGAACATAAAAATTATCGGACGGCGATTTGCCTGAGCTTCTGGCAAGGGAACAGGCAGGGATCTTATTATTATTACAACCGTTATCGACGCTCTCCCTCTCCCGATCCTCCTACATCCTCTCGCTCAACTCAGCCAGACGCTCTTTCAACCAACCCTCACTCTCGCTCTTTCAGGTTTATTCTGTCTCTTTGACGATTACATTCTCTTTGTTGCGTCTTTCGACGCCTCCGGCGCTCGTCTCTCCTTTATCATCTGTCGGTGGCTTACATCGGGGGTATAATTGAATGGTGTTGGTGACCTGTCGAGTCCTGATTTCCCGATTCCATCGTCGCAATCGCTTGAGTCTCGAATCTCCTGCGTGCATCTAATCTAACTCCGAAGATAATGAAGGTACGTTTAATCTAGGTCGATATTGCGATTGGCATGATTTTATTGTCGTTCTTATTGTCGGGTTCGACAGTATTCGACAAATTGCAGAGAATCACCGCCTTGATCCTTCCTGTGCTTTGATTAGGCGACTAACACCGCAAATTTTAGGCTCTCCGGCGCTCGCTGAAAGGGGAGAAGGATCCCAAACCCCACCACCACCACCATCTGTCCATTACGCCCAAATCCGCCGTCGCCATTCTGCCTCCAAAGAAGGTGCGTGCGCTTTAACCTTTGCCTTTCCTTTCCCTTCTCCATCCCTTCTGTTACTTTTTATATGTCTCTGCATTTACTTTTCGTCCCTCTTTATTCCCACCTTCTTTTGGCCCATCCCATTGTTTACCGACCCCCTCCTTTCCTCGGCTTATATTAATCAATCTTCGTCCGAACGCGTACAGGTCATCAAGGCGCTCTACGATTACCAGCCCGAACCAGGGAACATCCAGGAATTGCGTTTCAGCAAGGGAGATTTCTTCCACGTTATTAGCAGGGAGGACGACTCGGATTGGTACGAGGCGTGCAATCCCCTTATCCCTACCGCCAGGGGGTTGGTCCCAGTATCCTTCTTTGAAGTCGTCGGCAAGACCCAACGAGACAGCAGCGGATCCGTCGACCTTGGGAAGAAGAAAGAACCTCACGATTCCGGTTTCGCCGACCGGGCTACTTCTTCAGGCTCTGAATTTGGCTCAGGCAGCTCAAAATCTTATCAGTCGCACCCCGCATTTCCCAGGATATCAATGATGAGCAAAGCTGGCGGAGGCGGTGCCATGGTCTATGGTATCGTCCAGTACGACTTCCAGGCAGAACGCCCAGATGAGCTAGACGCCAGGTCGGGAGAGGCTATCATCGTTATCGCCCAGTCAAATCCCGAATGGTTCGTCGCAAAACCCATCGGTCGCCTCGGTGGCCCGGGTCTTATTCCTGTATCTTTTGTTGAGCTTCGCGATATGCAAAGTGGGCAGGCAGTCACTGATCCGCTTGAAGCCGTCCGGCGCGCTGGTGTTCCTAAGGTGGAAGAGTGGAAGAAAATGACTGCGGAGTACAAGAACAGCAGCATCACTCTAGGAAAAATCGAAGCGCCTGGCTCGATGCAATCCGTTCAATCTGGCATGGAGAGAATGTCAGTGCGACAGAGCGTCGACCCTATGAGCCATATGAGCCAGAACGGCCAAGTGAGTCCCCATTCCTTATCGCGCTCGTTGCAAAATTTAACACACATTTTGTAGGGCTTCCACAATCGAAACGCCAGCAAGGCATCTCTCGCTCAACAGTCGGTCCATCAACACCAACCATCCCAGAGTCTCATCCAACCTCTCGTCGCACCCGTTGCTGCGTCAATCCCTCGCTATTGTTTCGACAACGATAAATATTGGTACATTATCGAAGTCAAAATGGAAGATGGTCGTTGCTGGGAACTGTCCCGATACTATCACGATTTTTACGATTTCCAAATCTCTCTATTGACCCAATTCGAGGAGGAAGCGGGCAATCGCGGCAAACCTCGAACTTTGCCATTTATGCCTGGCCCTGTCGCCCACGTCACCGATGCGATCTCCGATGGCCGTCGTCATAATCTGGATGAATACATCAAGAAGCTTCTGTCCATGCCTCCTCACATCACCCGGTGCCCTCTTGTTCGTCAGCTGTTCGCTCCTCGCCAGGGCGACTTTGAGATCGACCCTAGTGCTTTTGGCGAAGATGCAAGGTTCTCAGGTGGCTCGCAACAGTCTGGTCATGAGATCTCTCCTAGTGCATCTAGACAGTCGTCGCAAACACAAACGGGCGGACCTTCTGAGCGCAGCTCACACTCGCACCAGCACCAGCACCAGCGATCCCAGCCGTCTAACTCCCATCTCAACGGAAACCCACCTCCAATGATCCGACAGCAGAGCTCGCTCACACAAGTGTCCACAACGTCCGGCAGCGGAGCGCTGAAAGTCAAGGTCTTCTTCCAGGATGACCTGATTGCCATTCGAGTTCCCAGCGATATCAATTCCCAGCAGCTTAAAGAAAAACTCAAGGATCGCTTGAAGATCAATGAGGAAATCGTTGTACAATACAAGGACGAGCCTTCTGGCACATACGTCGACCTCATCAGCGACAGCGATCTCGATACCGCTATCCAACGAAATTCTAAACTCACCCTTTATGTCGGACTTGCATAGAACCTGCTTACGATAGAGATCCTTTTCTGTTTACCTTTGTGTCTACCCTCCCTTACAGCCCTTGTTGTTCCATCTCTCGCTGCCATTTCTTTTGTGTCTACTCATACTTCAGCCCGACTATTTCTCTTATGTTTGGGTATTTAGGATGTCGCGGCGTTCAGGGATGTTCTTTGGTCACCAGCCTCACGAATGCGTTTGTTTATTCACGAGGTTGAGGATGTCAAGATTGAGACGTCTGAAATGTTGATGCGATCATGTACATTGGTTTCCCGTTCTTGTTTTCTTTACTTTTTTTGCTCTCATACCCTTTTCTCATATTTGTCGTGTGTACATAAAAATTTAGCCTGCATATACAGAGTTAACTTTTATCTCCAATAAATCTTAACAGAAGTAAATAACCCAAATTGTCTGTCCCTGAAGCAGGAACCATGGGACCAGGCGACGCCCATTTTCTGTACTCCGTAGTCCGCGTCGGAACTAAAACTGGGTGCCGCCTCCCGAGTCACATGACTGCCTCCCTCGGCAACGATGCGGTTCTTTTTCGCCTCTGGATTTGCCAAAACGCTGACGGTGAATGCGTCTTTTACTGCAATCGGGCATTGTTTGTTAATTCACTTGCATATTGCCTATATATCCCTGTCCATTACTATAACCCCGCCCCGTGGAAGAGTAGCCGCGCTAATCGCTCTCCCTTCCGTCCCCGCGTTTCGTCCGCCGACAATCACGGAAATCCGGCCGGGCAGGTGGAAAGAAAGAAAATACACCAAGCGCAAACATTGATAAAGTCTGCAGTTCGCCTACGAGCCGGCTTGGCTTTACTCACTATCCCCCTAGACGATACATCTGCATGAATTTATAACAGCGCAATCCTCGATCATTGTTGCGACTGCGAATCTAGATGTCAATGAGTGGCTCCTCCGCCAGGCTTTGCGCGGACCATGTCGCCAGCGCGCTTCTGAGACGGCGAGTGCCGGTATACCCTGTGGCCCTGCGTACAACTAGGCCGACCTATATTTCGGATTATCGGAGGACTCTACACGGTGGGCTTTTCTACCGCTCCAGAACCAACCCCGGGATTCCGCGCAGATGTAGCCGGTCGAATGCGGGCGTGTACTCGGTGAACCAGGGCACGAGACGATGGGCAGCAACTGTTGCGGATGATGGTGCGGCTGTGAAGGCTCCGGCTGGCGAGACTGGTGGTCCGTTGGCAGAGTATAATACGAGGGTCCAGGCGGGGAGGCTTCGAGACGATCCCTATCAGAGACGTAAGTAGGCTGGCTATGCGACTCAACGGGCCGCGGGATAGTGCTAATACTGTGGAATGTGTAGAGATAATCGAGCAACTGCAAGATTTATACGAACGGCTCCGGTCGTATGAAGCTCCTGCGGTGGTGCGCCCAAGTATAGAGTCGTTGGATCAAGCGCCGAAGAAGTCGTTTTTCGGCTCGTTATTCTCAAAGGCGCCTGCGAAGTCGGAATCATCGATTTCCGAGGACCTGCCTAAGGGCCTTTATATGTATGGGGATGTTGGATGTGGGAAGACGATGCTCATGGATTTGTTTTACGAGACGCTGCCACCGAATATCTCGTCGAAGTCGCGGATTCATTTCCATAACTTCATGCAGGATGTACATAAGCGGATGCATGTGGTGAAGATGCAGTTTGGGAACGACTTTGATGCCTTGCCACTGGTTGCGGCTGCTATTGCAGAAAAGTCGAGCGTGCTGTGCTTCGATGAGTTCCAGTGTACGGATGTAGCTGATGCTATGATTCTACGGAGGTATGTCTGATTTATTTCCCTTTCAACCATTTAGTTTACTCATACTTGTCTCAGGCTCCTTGAGCTGCTTATGTCACACGGCGTTGTCCTCATTACGACCTCGAACCGACATCCAGATGACCTCTACCTGAACGGCATCCAGCGCGAATCCTTCATCCCGTGTATCACCCTCCTGAAAACCGTGCTCAATGTAATCAACCTTAACTCTCCCACCGACTACCGGAAAATTCCCCGTCCGCCATCTGGCGTCTACCACAACCCTCTCGGTCCGGAAGCCGAGCAGCACGCTCAGAAATGGTTCGACTTTCTCGGCGACCCGATTAACGACCCTCCGCACCCGACCACGCAAGAAGTTTGGGGCCGCAAGATCCAAGTTCCTCTCGCCAGTGGCAGGGCTGCAAAGTTCAGCTTTCAGCAACTCATTGGATCTGCTACAGGCGCCGCAGACTACCTCGAACTCGTCCGAAACTACGAAGCATTCATCATCACGGATGTGCCGTCCATGACGCTGCACCAGCGCGATCTCGCTAGACGGTTCATCACATTCATCGACGCCGTCTACGAAAGCAGGGTACGTTCCATATCCACTGCCCAGTATTTATAGGTTTCCTCGAAGCTAACATCTATAAACCAGGCCAAACTCGTCCTTACGACAGAAACCCCGCTAACAACGCTCTTCATTTCCGAATCGGAAGTCAAAACCTCTCTCGACGACAACGGCGAACACGCCGATCTCTCCGACTCCATGCGCATGATGATGGACGACCTCGGCCTATCCATGAAGGCACTCAAAACATCCTCAATCTTCAGCGGTGACGAAGAACGCTTTGCCTTCGCGCGTGCTCTATCCCGTCTTTCTGAAATGGGGAGCAAGGAGTGGGTTGAGAGGGGTCTGTTGGGTGTAGGATTGGATGCTGCCAAGGGGAAGGAAGAACATGACGCTTATTTGAAGGCGAGGAGTCGGTGGAGTGAGGACAACATGTAAACTTTTTACCCTGTCTGTTTCCTCTACCCTGGCACCGCGTTATTTTCCCCATCTCTTTTAGAATCTTGCGATAAAGACGAGGTGACGTGCCCCGGTTGGGGTTTGTCTGCATGGAATGGCACAGCCTGTTTAGATTTTCTATGTTTGGTTTGGCTTGTATATAACATTTACATCGATAGAACTATATATACCTACCGTACTACACTGCTATGGATTTTGTCTGTGGATATCCAAAACCCTGGCATACAAACCAACATCACCTTTAGCCCTTGGCAGCCACGGTCTCATCGCGAAGGGGCTATATGAAGGAAACGATGCCGAGTATACCCGCTTTGTAGCTCTTGGTAAGAGTGAGGACGTAGTTACTTGGAAGAAAGGGGAGAAGTGGAATGTACAATGTTGGCAAGGTTTACTGAGGCATGTTAAGTGGATAGTTCATTGAAGGCCTCAGGCGAGCAAGCGGTATACGATCCAGGAAAACGGTGGTCTATAAGCTCGAATTTAGTAATCTAGTCAACCAGGAGGAAATTTCCAATAACAAACTGAAAGATTGAATTGAACTCCTGCACGGTATACCTATTACATAGACGGGTTGAAGTGTTGTCAAAAAAGGAACATACCTAGTTCAGCATCAGAAGAATCATCGGCAGCTCTGCAACCATAGACCACATATTGCAGGCAATATACGAGCAACGTCACCAGACGGAGAGGAAACTGAGAGCACCGTGACCAGCAAATAAGCAAGATGGGGCTCTGATTATCCTGGTTTGAGAACTGACCCTGGCGGCTTCGCGTCTGCGAATTCCAATATCCCCTTTGGCTTCCATTCCGCATTCCCCGTTACACGACAGCCCACGGTGAGCTTGGAAAAGCAATACGGTTCTTTTCTGGGTCAAAATGGTTTCGGTCACCTAGAGCTTGTCTGTTTGCTTCATAGCTCTTCTGCACAACTCAGGGCAATGAAGCTCCAGATATCGCGGTCGCACCGGCTGGCAGCGGCCATCACAATATCTGCTGCCTTCTTTTTCACCGAGATCGCAGGTATGTATTCTCATTTTCCCATGAAGGGTGAATCTCGCATCCCTAGGATCTCGCTGAATCTGCAATAGTTGGCTTTTACACCCATTCCCTGGCTTTGGTGGCAGACGCCTTCCACTATGTACGTGAGGACCAAATAGCAGAGCCCATCATGCTAACATCATTAGTTGAATGATCTAGTTGGGTTTATTGTTGCCTTTACCGCAATCAAGGTTAGTTCCCACTTATTGAAAGATGATCAAGTTGATGAAAACAATACCAACAATAGCTACCAGGTCTCAGAATCCAGTAGTTCGCCTCAGGAGCTTTCTTTTGGATGGCAACGAGCGCAAGTCTTGGGAGCGTTCTTTAATGGCAGTCTATTGTTTGCACTGGGAATCAGCATCTTCCTCCAGTCAATTGAACGCTTCGTGACAATGCATCGTGCGTTAGCCAAGTCTAGCATGGGTTTACTTACTCACCTGAGTCAGATGTTGAAAATCCCAAGCTCATGTTTATCATTGGGTCAGTTGGGCTGGGATTGAATATAATATGTGCCACTTTTCTGCATGGTAACTTGCCTTGTCACCCCAGGCGTTCATGTTTTTGACCACTATCCAGAGCATCACCACCATGGCGGACATGAGCATCATAGTCATCATGACCATCGCCATGACTCAGAATTGGGAGTAAAGTCTCAAGAACAAATTGATCTTGAGAAGCAACATGAGATTGACAATGAAGCCAAGGTTCGAGTTTGTTCAAAGGTCTTGAAACTGTTCCTTAGCTGAAATTCGCTGTAGCACCTTGGTCACCGGCATTTGGCGCATAAAGAAGCACCCGCACACGGAGGACACGACCTGGGCATGATGGGTGTTTTGCTCCATGTTCTCGGTGATGCAGCCAACAACCTAGGAGTAATGATTGCAGCATTGGTTATATGGCTGACTCAATATGAGGCAAGATTCTACGCTGATCCTGCCACCAGCCTGGGCATTGCTGCTATGATCATGCTGTCTTCTATTCCCCTCGGTAAGCCGTTTGTATTCAATGGCGCGGATATGCAGAATTGATGGTGCTAGTGCGACAATCCGGTCTGATATTGCTTGAAAGCGCCCCGAGTGGACTTGACCACGCAGATGTGAAGCACGACCTCGAGAAGGTAAGACGAACCGATTCTGCATAATCTTAAGTCTCTAAACCATCTCTTAGGTTCCTGGCATCCTCGCCGTCCATGAGCTGCATATCTGGCGTCTCAGCCAGCATAAGATTCTCGCATCGGTGCATGTTGCTATATCAGACCACTCGGTGTCTGAATTTTCAAGCCTTGCTAGCGTAATAAAGCAATGCTTCCACGCCTACGGAATCCATTCTGTAACTGTCCAGCCCGAGACCGCGACTCCCGCAAACACGGGGGGTCTGACGCACCAGCAGGAGGGTGAAAATGAACCGGACTCGCCCCCGAAATACACTGACCAATGCCAGTCCAAATGCAGCCCTTTGTGCAAAGAGCTGGCGTGTTGTGAATAGAGGGGAATATTTCTGAGGATATGGGTGGACGGAGGAAAAGAAATGATTCTAGGAGGAGGATGAGTTGCGCATCGTCGGGTCTTTCTCTTTCTCTTCCGTTCGCCTCTTCTACTCCCCTTTTCTAGCTCTATATGTTCCCCACTGTAAGCATCTTTCCATCGCCGCCAGTCTGGCTGATGGTCCAGCCCATTGCAGACGCTCTGACCTCCCAGTACTTGGCTCGCGGAACGATTCCGAGCAGACGGCCCAAGATGAATCAAGATATACTCCAAGACTTCCCTTTTGTTTTACAGTCCAATAGAAAATATTCCAAGATTCCAATGCTGGTAGTTTGCTGTTGCTCTAAATGACATCAGCGCAGTAAACCACACAACATTCATTCTCTTCAAACAGGAAACTCGACGCGTTCATGCTGCGACAGACTCCAAATCTCCAACTGATAAGCGTACACCCCACCCATTTCCTCATTCCGAGGCGGATACTCGGTTCCCTTGGAATCGGCATCTTTGGGCTATTTGATCGATATCCACTGGCGAACGCGGGGTAGAGCCAGAGTCTCTACTGGCTATCGGGGCCGAGATATCTGCGTCCTCTGCTGCATGAGAAGATCATAGGACCATCTCAACGATCAGCGCCGTGCATTTCCGCCATGACACATATCAGATAGCACAGCAGTTTGTGGTGCTGGGAAAAGCAATATAATTACCGAGGCGTCCAGTCCTCGACGCCCGCTTCTCCCTGTACGCAACTCACCGAGGTTCCACACACCCACTCACCAGGCGCCATGGCACCTACCTGGGAAATACAAGCTCGCAAAGCTCGCGACATTCTCCAACAGTCCATTCCAAAACAATGGATGGTGCCGGCTAGCCAGTTACCTCCTACAACCCAGCTTAATGTGGCGGGTTTCCCGCGTACAAGCGGGATCTTTACGGACAAGGAGCTTGCTATAACGGAAATGTCCGCCACAGCTCTTGTGGATGTGATGGGAAAGGGCCAGCTCAGTGCCGAAGAAGTAGTTGTGGCCTTCCTGAAGAGATCTGTCGTGGGCCATCAGCTGGTATGTCGAGCTGCGAAGAGGGCCGAGTTTAGCTATTAACCACCCCCAGCTCAACTTCGCTACAGAGTTCATGGCTGAGAAGGCCGTTTCGCGAGCCAAAGAGCTAGATGGGTACTATAGGAAGACTGGAAAGCTGGTTGGACCTTTGGTATCTTTGACCACTCCCCTCATCTAACGGGCTATCCAAATACTGAGTGTCAGCAGCATGGTGTTCCCATCAGTGTCAAGGAGCAAATCGGAATTAAAGACCTGACCTTGAATGGAGGTTACGCTGCCTGGTACTGTTGTCCTTCATATTTATTGATGATACTTAGCTAATGCAAACGAAGGGTTGACGACATTGCGACAGAAGACGCCCTTCTCCTACAATGTCTTGAGAAGGCGGGTGCAATCTTCCATGTGCGAACGAATCAGCCTCAGTCTCTCATGGTAATTCCAGTTCTATATTTCATCGCAAACAGGGTCAATACTCATTCCACAAGCATTTGTGCTGCAGTAACAACCTCACTGGAACAACTTTGAACCCGTACAACCGCTTGCTTACGCCAGGCGGGTCTTCAGGAGGTCAGTCAGTCTACGATTCCATGAGACTATCACTTTCTAATTCTGGTAATTAACTTGAGTGTGACCGACTAGGGGAGGGCGCATCTATGGGCTTTAAATGTGCTCCGCTAGGCATTGGAACTGATATAGGTGGCTCAATCAGATGCCCTGCGGCGTTCTGCAACGGATATGGCTTTCGTCCAACAGCACGACGAAACCCGATCATTGGGCTCAAGGCCCCTGAGCCGGGCCAGGAATCAATTCTCGGAGTAGTTGGTCCGCTTTCTAGCCAATCTATCCAAGATTTAGACTTGTTTCAACGTGCAGTCCTTGATCAGGAGCCATGGGATATAGAAACGTCGTTGGTGCCAGTACCTTGGAAGAGTGTCAGGCCAACAAATAATATGACGGTGGCTATTATGTGGGACGATGGGTACGTATTTTCTACTCCATATTATTACACTTTTCATGCTTAATGAAACCAGCTGTGTTCGTCCGCATCCCCCAGTGCTCAGAGCTTTGAAGCATGCCCAGAAGAAGCTTCAGGGCATCGGTATCAAAGTGGTTAACTGGGAACCTTACAAACATGGCCACGGTTGGGATATTATAGTATGAAATCCATCTCAAATATATGAAATGGTCGCATGATATACATTGCAGACATTTGCTAACAAATCAACAGTCTTCTCTATACTTCCCAGATGCAGCCGCCAGCCAGCGTGCGCTCATTGCGCAAACAGGTGAACCGATTCTTCCTCTCACTGAATGGGCCTTCCAATATAGTCGTCCTACACCATTGGCCGTGGGTGAGGGCTGGGAGTTGAACTACCAACGGGACATCTATCGAGACGAATATCATGCGCTTATGAAATCTCGGGGAGTAGATTTCATTCTTTGTCCTGCATATGTCGGAGTTGCGCCTGTTCTGGGTGAATCCCATTATTGGAATTACACTGCAATTTGGAATATCCTAGACCAGCCTGCTGCGGTATTCCCCAGTGGGTTGAATGTAGACCCGCAGCTGGACGCTGTAGACAAGTCTTACCAGCCACGGACTGCAGTGGACGAGAGAGAATGGAAAAAGTATGCCCCCGAGAGGTACATCGGCGCACCGATTGGACTACAGCTGGTAAGTCTTGTTCTCAGCCCTTAACTGACATATAATTTTATATCCTTTTAGCATGGCAAGCCATCAATGCTAACCGGGTTACTTCTATCCGAACAGGTTGGAAGGCACTTCAAGGATGAGGAAACGCTGGCAGCTGCTAGCTTGGTTTCGACTACATTGGAGGATCAGGTGGCGAAGCTATGACTGAACAGTATCTATGTAACATTTGCGTAGCGAGCACTCTAAATAGACCTAAAGATCAGGGCAATGGAGGCATCTATATACAAGAAAACTAGTCCGAATCAGGAAATGGCGCGATCAACATTATGTCAGCCAAGGAGGGTCACGGCGGCGATGCTGCACCTCAACATCTCCTCCATTCTCGCCTGGAGTCTTCTTCCGGATTTCAAGAGGCGCAGAAATGCCGGCTGAGTTTTCTAGATGTTTTTCAAGGCTCTGGATCTGACCACCGCGCTCCGTCCGTTACTATTGCCCGATGAGACACTGCTCTTTGTCCAGGATGCGGTGGGGTTGTACGAAGGGTAAGTGGGATACGACTTCTACTGTTGCTACTGCTGCGTCGCAATTGTTTTGCTTTTCTTTCCTATGAGTTACTCAGGCTATGTTGGTTAACTCCCAATTTCTGGAACCGATAGCAAATATAAGGTCGCCAACTACCAAAATGGCCATGCGTACCTCACGTCACACCGAGTTTGCTACGTCGCCGTCGATGAACCACGGAAATACTGTGTCGCCATTGACCTGAAGGAAATCGACAGAGCGGAATATCAAGTAAAGCGCCACCTGTTTTGGTCTCACGGCTTATTGCTCATATATACAGGCAGGGTTTTGGAAATCGTCAGCGAAGGTTATCATATACCCCAAGCCGCCCAAGAACATAGACGGGCCCCGAGGCTCGGGTGCAAGCCCATCGCGGTCGCTACCATTGAGGACACAGTTAGTCGGCACACAGTCATCCTTCCCTCAGACATCGTCATCTAGCTATACTCCTCCCCCGCCGAAGCCTGTGAATGCGACATGGGTTTGTCCAATATGCTCGTTCTCCAACCCAGTGCCGTCGAATTTCGACCCCTCTACGGCCACTAACTCTACACCAATTCCTCCTTGTCTCGCTTGTGGAATAAAGCCTCCGTTTACAACGATTCTGAAGGCTGCAATTGCTGCGGCGACAAGTCGGGAAAGCCCGGCTATAACACCCTCAACGTCTCAGCCCGGGCAAGGAACTCCAACGGAGGGAACTGGGCTTACAAGTACATCGAATGGCAGTGGCTCGGTGATGTGCTCGCGCTGTACCTTCATAAACCACCCTTCCCTTCTTGAGTGTGAGATATGTGGTGCATCTTTATCGACTGTCAACGCGTTGCGGGGCCCCGATAACCAGGACAGATCGGAATCTCCGGCGCCGTTTTTCGAGGAGGGGAATATTCGGAACACTGATGTCAGCGATCACATAAAACTTTCATTTCGAGGAGGCGGCGAGAAAATCTTCCTTGAGAGACTCAGGGGAGCGTTGGTTCAGCGGAAATGGCTGCTTTACAACGCACCCCCTGCCCCGCAGCAACCATCGCAGTCGAAGCCAACATCGTCGCCAGATCCGACAGGTGTATCTACTGGTCTAGACACACCCACTCAGACTCGATCGCCTGGTGTTGGAATTGCCGGCTTGGAAAGACGAGGGCTTGAGGCTCGCAAAAACAACGAGCTCGTGATTGGAAATGCGTTCGAGGATTTGGAGGCGCTCATGGCGTCTGCAAAACAAATTGTTGCATTGGCCGAAACATTGGCTAGAGAATCAGGCATGGCCAGCGATGAAACTTCGGCGGAAACTAGCGCAGTTCTCTCTGAATCTGCTGCCGCTCTTGGGATGGTTACGACGAAGGATATGCTCGGATCCAGTGCAGGCAACCTATATTTATCCGAGCTATCGCGAAACTTAGCCGAATATCTCACTGATGATCGGAAGGGCGTCCTCCAGAAAGAAGGTGGGATTATGAGTCTTATTGACCTCTGGGCAGTGTTCAATCGCTCCCGAAATGGGGTTGAGTTGGTAAGTCCTTCAGACTTTCAAAGAGCGGCTGAGCTCTGGGAGAAGCTTAAGCTACCTGTTCGACTTCGGCGGTTTAAGAGCGGTCTCCTAGTAGTCCAAAGATACGACTGGAGCGATGAAAAGACCCTTCGCCAGCTCCAGGACTGGATGGCCAATCTCCGACAGGTTCCGCCTCCAGAACCCGTTCCCTGGGACTGGCGCTTGTTTGGACAACCGGTGACAGCTCAGGGGGCAGCCCAACGTTTCGGATGGAGCGTGGGAGTGGCAGCTGAAGAATTAGAGATGGCAGAGGACAAGGGCATCATCTGCAGAGAAGAGGGCATTGAGGGGTTGAAGTTTTGGACGAACTTTATTACATTCGATCCGACGCCCGCTAACCCTAATGGCTTGGCTATCTCGACCTTGGAGATCTAAGTGAAATGAGCATAGATTTGATATGAATAATGCCTATATAGTATAGAATCATGAGAGACCGTCCTACATACTGTGGAGAGTCCGAATGCGTCGATGCAGTGGATGACTCAGGCACGTCATTGGCAGCTGACCCCGCACTGATAAGGAACTCCGCATGCCAACCTGGAGCTCTGGAGCTCTGGAGCTCACCGCACCTCCAAGCATCGATCATTTATACTCTTCGGACTATTTCCTCCCATTTACCGAATAGGGCTTTGATTCACTGCTGACCGTCTCCGATGTGACCTAAACGGCTGGTCGCCGTCAGCCCTCGGTCGCTATTATCGTTGATATCGCCACAGCCATGGCTCACGTTAGCACGGTGTCGATTCGGAGCATACGCAGCCCACCATACGCAATTTTCCAAGCTCCATACAGCATTTCATCTCAAAGTCGCTGCCTGTGGGGGTGCTCGCATGAGAGATATAACCGCGACCGACACAAGAGGCACATAGAATACATACTCAGCAGGCACGAACGCCAACGAAGACCTCGTCATCCCTTGCGGGACCACCAAACTGTATACCCAGACTACCACTATCAGTCGTGGCGGAATCCATCATGGATCTGGGGCCAGAAGAGCTTCAGGCCGAACTTCCACGAGTTCCGGGGTAGACACAGACAGGAGCATGACCATGACTCTTGGGAAGACCAGGCGCAGAAGCGGATGGAACGTATTAGGAAGGAGATAGAGGCTGATCCATACGCGGCCTTGTTTGGAAGAAGACTGGAACCGTTTGCTTCCAACTTTGGGGCCAGGTTTGAAAATGGTTTCACTTCGCTGTGGCGGTCGTTGTTTGGTCTTGATAAGCCGGAGAATGACACGAAGAATAATATTGGCAGAGCAAAGGAGGATTCGAGGGGTTCTTCTGGTGGTGACATGCGAGTTGCTGAATCTGAAAGGGCAGAAAGTCAACCCCCGCCGGAGTCGACGGGTGCTGCGTTTGAATTCGATCCTGTCAGCGGTCGTATGGTTCCCAAACGACCTGAAGACGATTACGTTATTGAAGGGCAAGCTGCGGCACATGGATCCTCCAAAGACCTTGAACCCCCGTCATCAAAGATAGCTGAAGAAAAGCCATACGATTACTCCGAATCAGATATTGTCGGCAGCTCAAATAAGGGAGACTCGACTATACCTGAAAGTTCAGCTGTGCCCGAGGATACATCCGGATTCAATATTACCCCTCAAGGTCCGGCCTCCGAATTTGCCTCGCCTAAGAAGACCGTGGATGACGTACCCCTTGAAGAGCCTCAAGGAGCTGCCCATGCCGAACCGTTTCAGTTCAACCAAAGACCTGAATACCGAATGCTACCAGATGACGATAGCTACGGCGCTCTATCAAATGATAATATCGTCCAACCAAGCCAGATCCTCGGCGCAGAAAAGACCATTTCCGAAAAGCCAGTAACTGAGCACCACAAGGAAAAAGGCCTCAACAGGGCGGGTTTCCTGTCCAGGCGTGAAAATGAGCATCTCACGTCTACAGCAACTGATGCAAGAGATGAGGAACTTGATCAGTTGCGTGCCCATGATATCCGAGCTGCCTATGAGCCGAGAAGATTAAGTATCGAATCAGAGCTCGAAGCCGAGACACCTAAGAATACAGGCGAATCTTCCACCGGTGCTGTGGATGTTGATAGCCACAATAAGCCCGCGGAAAACCTGAATGCCGACTCATCGGCGCCACCTAGCGAGTGGTCCATCAATGCCGCTTTAAACCAACTAAGCGAACAAGCCCCATATATAAGCCTCTCGCACAAGGATGCACCAGCGACGCGTGATACTTCAAATGCGGAAGTATATCGCATATTTGCATATGATCCATCTTCACTTTCAGTGACAGAAGCCGAAACTACCTCATCGCTTCAAACATCAGGCGAGCTTCTACATCCGGCTGAAGTGCTTACACGCTTGACGAACCCCGCCAGGTTCCTACCATGTCTTAAACAAATGCACGAGGAGGGATACGAAATTGTATCAGGTGGAGGAGATATTCTTGTATTTCGGAAGGTTCCTGAAACAAAAAGTTCAACCATCGACGATACTCAAATCGAGGATATTCCAGAAACCCTCACTGAAGGACATTCCGGTGAAGCGGCTGTGGCCCAACCCGCAGATGATGACTTTCATACCGGAAATTTGCCTTATAATCAATCATCTACCGAGAAATCACATTCAAAGAGCGCTCCAAAGTCTAAGGTTCGAAAAGTACTTCGGCGAATGTTGATTAGTGGTGCCGCCACAGCGGGTACATGCTATGCAATAGGCGTTGTTACTGAGTATTTCAGGACTGGAGGAGTGGACGGATGGGGCATTGATGGGTTCACAGAATTTGAGTCAGAAAGGCGCCATATGGAGCGCTGAATAAAATTGCGAGGGTGTTTCGAGCGGGTTGGCTATTCTCTCCGCTCTTGTGTAGAAGTGAGCAAACAATCTCAACTTGGAATAGTATCCTATGCTCTCCCTCTCAGCATGCTGTATCCAATAGCTCAGTAATCCCGTGAAGGTCCTCCAACGATTAATTCATCATCTGCCTTCTTTGCACGCGTCTCATTCTTCTTGTCATCCCATACCCAGTCCCACCAGGGCTGGCAAAGTCCCTCCGCAATACCCCCGATCTTATCCCTCATCGAAGTCCTCATATTCTCTCGCTCAACGGCTTTGGCCTTACCCTCCTCACGCTTCTTTTGCTCAAACTCTCTCATCTTCGCCTCTTTCTCCTCTATCTCCTGCTGCTCCTTGGCCGCTTTCTCCTTCTCATCATCACTATTAGCCTCATACCCTTCATCATACGGGTACTTGCCAAACACTTCCTGTAACACTCCACACCTCGCCTGTCCACTCATAAGGTACATCATCATCCCACATAGCATCTTTTGCGCAGCCACAAACTCCCACTTTACCCACAGATCATACTCGCGGCTCGCCAGGATCTGGAACGCGCGCGGTTCGCTCTCGTTGTTCGGGTTCGAGAGCTGATCCCATTCCACCTGCTCCATGAACCGGTCTATGTTCGTCTTGCTGTAGAATCGCTCGTTCATGTTCATTCCCGACACATGATTGTTTGTGCTCGTTTCCTCGATGCCGGAGGGTCTGTGTCGGCCACACCAGACCCTCGATGTCTTTTGGCCTGGGAAGATTCCGCGGAGAATGTGCAGTTTGGAACCGTGGAGGCTGATTAGGAAGCCTTCTTGGTCTGGGAGTTTGTCACCGGGGGGCGAGAGACAGTGGATATTAACCAGGTATTGCGCGAGGAGGAGCTTGAACTCGCCTTCTAGGGCTTTCTTGAGGGACTGCTTGCGGTCGGTTGTCTGTAGGGAAAATAAAGTGTTAGTTGGTCATAGGTCGTGTTCATCCCCTATGTGTAATAGATATCACGAAGAGAGCCCACTTACCGTCACGACAGGCACAACGACATGCGGCATACCCCGGTAAGGCTCATAATCCAACGAAAGTGAGCCCGCGGTGTAAGGTGAATCCCGATGCTTTTCGCGGTACCCAGTCCAGTACTCTGGCTTGCAAGAAACTAGTCTCGGTCTGTAGTGAATCAGAGATATACCTATATTTGCATCACAGATGATCAAAAAACAAAACTCACCTCAGGAAAAAGAACTGCCGATGGTTGTCCATCTCACGGCGAAGCTTAAGCATGTTTGAAATCTCGTCAAGAAGAGCATAAACAACCTGACCCTGCGCCTTAACTGCCTCTTCGAAATCAATCTTCGAAGACGACGAACTCGAGCTCGAGCTCATAAGCCAACTGCCAGTATTATCGCCATCAAATAGACCATGCTTGAAGGATGGAACCTTCTTCAGGGTCTTGAACACGCCACGGAACCGGATGTCAACTTTTGACCATTTTCTGATGTCTACCTCACGGCCGTCCTTTGCGGCGCGGAAAATCCACGGGTTGCGTTTGAGGAGGTCTAGGTTTTGTTAGGCAATCCAGTAGTAGTGGAGGAGGCTAAGGTAGATAAAAGACGGGGAAACGAACACGAGCAATCCGCTTTCTCAAGGTATCTGGCCGGAATGATATCGATGTCTGCGCAGTTGAGGTATACCTTTGCCTTAAGGCCGTGGACGTTTATTTCGAGCGGGAGGACGCCATCGTCATCAGAGTCTGATTCGGTCTCGGATATGACCACTTTTTCTTTCTCATATTCGTCTTGTTTTTTATCATCTTTCACTTTCTCCGGGGGTTTGGTGTCTTCTTCTGGGACTGGGGAGAGAACATGGGGTGTGTGGCGGTCCATGGTCGGAATCGATGCCTTTGCAGCTCGCTTTCTCGGCCAGGATGCCGGTTATGGAATTTTTGGAAGGGGGAGGGTGAAAAGGTCAGTGAAGCTGAAATTCACCGAAAATTCAGTCTGGAGTTATCTTGTGATGAGTGTTACTGTAGTGATGTTGGCCGTGAATTTATTTGCGCAGATTATACCTTCATTATGAATTATTTCAAAGCTGGTCAATTCAGCCTGAAGAGCATGTTTTGAGATCAGACAATACAGCTACTTTAACTAGCTAGTTAAACTATATCATTATAAAAGAATAAATACATGTCAAGGCTCACTAATCAGTAGATGCTGTTGAAGACATGTAGAGCAGGGGTATATCTGTATTGATTAACTGTGGTGTTTTTTTTCAGCCACTCATATAAAACCTAGATTATCGGTGTATTCTGGGCGTGTATGAGAGCAGTTCTTCTGGCTGGAGGTTAATTCAGGTGCTCCTGATGGAATCAAATAGGGTTCAATGTATATTGCATGATTATGACTGAGATATATATAGTGCTATTATGCAGGTGGAGCACCATCTCAATTCATATATACGGAATAAACCCCAAAGTAAACACACACACATCTACTAAACCAGAGAAGGCCTAGAATAAAAGCAACAGTGAACTACCAGATAACAGGCCTTCATTTCTCCTGTTTGTAGAACTCAGCTATCGCGGTCCTATCTTATCGAAGTGGGGCAGCGGGGATCGACTCCAACTCCCCCAAGGTCCAACTTCAACCGCCATAAAGCGCTGGTATCCAACATCCTAACCTACACCTCACTATCCTAGCCGGCATCTGGAAGAACACAAAAGACACAGATAATCAAAATGTCTAAAATTCACGTCCGATCCTCCGACGCCCCGGCGCCCGCGCCATTTCTCTCCCAGGCCACCGTGGTCGGGAACATCGCCTTCTGCTCCGGTCAACTCGGGGTCGACCCCAAGACTGGGAAGATCGTGGATGGGAGTGTAAAAGACCGAACTGTATGCTACAAAGCCCTCTGATGTCTATTTATATAATTTTGAATAAAGTGTTGCCGCTTCTTGCTTATCGGAAGAATGCTAATACGGAGCTACGGTAGCGCCAAATCATCACAAACCTCAGCGCGGTCCTCACAGCGAGCGGATCTAGCCTCGCTGACGTCGCCAAGGTGAACGTATTTCTGGCTGACATGAATGACTTCAAGGATATGAATGAGGCTTATATGGAGGGGTTTCCGGAGCCGAGGCCGGTATTTCTTCCCTGACCCCCTTTCTCGTCTCATTTCATTGCTTGTTGTGTCTTTGCTCGGAGGCTAATGTACTACAATTCGATCTGAAGGCCCGGACGTGTGTGGCTGTCAAGACTTTGCCGATGGGCTCGGATGTTGAGATTGAGTGCTCGGCTGTTGTGACGGGGCCGATTAAGGGGAAGCTGTAAGAGACAGTTGGGAGCATGGAAACCTATGAGGGAAAGTCAAAACTGGGAAGAGAAAGTCCTAGAGCGATAAAATGTTAATGATTTGTGTTACTGATTGACTGATGCTAGCGTGGTATAGTTTAGAAGCTGAGTAGCTTGTGGTAGAACCCTGACATTGGAAGAGGATTGGCTCGAGTAACTGCGTCCACCAGTCAAGAAATTTCTGTACTCATACTGACATAAAACGATTGTTGAATGCCTGATCTGCACGCCGTCGGTGGCGGACAGCGTATGTCGGTGACAGGGTGTTGGGCAGCCAGAATGTTCTGTCAGAACAAGGCGAGGGATGCTGAAGATGAAGAGAACTGATAGGTGCAGGCAGTCTCATGCAAGATGCGGGTCCAAGATTCCAATTCCTGCGCTGGCCGGAGATTTTCACGAAGCCAGCGTGGTCGGAGCCTGGAGGAAATGAAGCGCAGCGTTGTATTTTCTTTTTCATGCTGCTGTCCAGCATGAACCTTGGACGCTGCTGCTGGGCCAAATCTTGGGCCTGGGTGGCCGGCAAGCTGATTGGTGGTGGGAGCGGCCTGTGGTCAGGAACAGGCTTAGCGTCGGGTAGCATCCACGGTCTCGCTGATGAGCTTCACGATCACATTCCACAGCTGGCTGGTCAGGGGAAGGGGAGGAATCCTGGGCCAGTTTGACTCAGTCACACCATCCAAGAGACGAACTTTGTGTTCGCGTTCATGCCAACTTCAGGGTGCTGACTGCTGACTAGCCGCTGGCGTCGATCAGGAAGTCTGGACTCTGCCGGGAATTGACGTGGAAAAGTAAGGAGATCGCGCCAGATCCTCACTCTTCACCGTGTGAGTCTGTGACGGGCTTGGCCAGGAAAATCAAGGAGCTTCATGCTGGTCGGAATCACAGGGCGTCGAGGTCGGAGACATGGTCCGCACCGTGGGACCGACTACATGTCGCACGTCCCTTTGGCCCAGAAGATTCATTTTACAAGGAATGCCATAACATCATGTTTGTAGAAGAGGACTGTTTCAGCCTCAGTGCGAAGAATGCGGTTTGGCCGATTTGCTTGAGACTCGAGGTCTGAATCAAAAAGACGCATTCTTGATGAGCCATGCACGTGGTGACGTTCTTGACACCACACCACTACTACTCCGAATCCAGTATTATTCCTGATTTCTTCAATTCCAGGCTAGCTGGGGAACTACCGGTGGCCCCCCCCGTCGTTTCTCCGAACTGACGTCCAGGGAAAAGCACACGAGCGGAGGACCATGCGCAGGAATGGGATGTGATAGCCGAGTGGCTCCGGCAGATGCTTGAGGCATCGTGGAGCGCCGCCTTGGAGGATAACTTGTGAGACAAGCTTGGTGTTTGTGCAATTTCAGGGAAAAGGGGGCTCGGAATGTTTGCGTTGTTTGTTGAGGATCTTGGGCTGCAGGAGATCTCGATTCTCAGTGTCTTCGTTCTTTCAAATCAGCCCTCTTCGAGCCCACTTGAGAAGGGCGAGCTGTGATGGAAAACTGACTTTGGTGGTGGTGGTGATCGGCAGCACTGGTGTGGTGAGAAGCGAGAACACACAGAGTTCTGGCTCCAGACACGCACCGGGCGACCCCACCGCAATCCAGGAACCGGCTCCACTAAAGAGACCAAAGACTCGCCAAAGACACGCCGGCGGTCTCGGCCTGGACCAAATGAGGTTGGGCGTGCTGTGCGCAGACCCGCCCTCCCCATTGCGATGTGCGCCTTGCAATTATGCCGATCGGCGCCTCCATTTCACTGGCCGTGGTTGCGGTCTTTCGCACCATTGCTGCAAGGTCCGTCATCCAAGACCAAATTGGAAAGTGTTGGCTGTCCCACTCCTTGAAGTCGCCCAGCACCACTCGCTGATACTGCGCAATCGTGCTGGGCTGCTGGTGGAGGCGAGATGTCATGCTCAACCTCGCCGTTTATTATTATTCTCGACTCTCAGGAACTGATCCTGTTGACATGTTCACAGCCTTCCGCTTCAGCCTCTGTCTGACGTTGGCGCTGTGCTCAACAATCCGTCTTGAGAGGCAGCGATCTTCTGCCAACTCAGTCATTTCAAGCATTTTATGAGATGGATCCTGAATTCTCGTCTTCCAGTTTTCACTTTTCGGTCGCCTGTCGATCCAAATTCTTCAAGATGGAAGAGAACTCTTGGAGCTAGCCACCATGGTCCGAAATCACACCAAGCCTCCAAGAAGCCAAGGCCCTCGTGTTGTATTTGTCTTACCAACGGGTTGAACTCGGTATTATTGGCCCTCGCCTGGCATGGCGTCATATTTCTAGCTTCTCTGTAATCGTCTTTGAATTGACTCTGCATGAGCGGACGCAAAGGATGCTATCATCTTTCACATTCTCCGAAAGCAAAGAGAGCAGGCTGAAACAAGGTCTTTTTCAGCTCGGGGTCGAGGGAGGAGAGGGCCGTCTGGAAGAACAGCGAAGATGGGAGTTATTCTTAGAAGCGAGAACAAAGATTACAGAAATAATAATACGCCGGTGTCTGTTGCGTAACCCACTTGTCTTGTACTAGTACACTGTGCTATTGCCACGGCCCTCCACTGCCCCCCTCTCCCCAGTCTCCTCTTCTCCTTTCTCCTGCTGGCTGCTGTTCTTCCTCATCTTGATCAACTCTTCCGTTCTCCTCTCTCTTCTTCACCTATGCTTCGCCATCGTTGGTGCTGTCGTTGACGTTGCCAGTCCTTGGTTTTTCTTTTACCTTCTGCGTCAATGAACCGTTGGGACTGACAATTCATCGCTTGCTCTCTCCTTGCATCCCTATCCCACGGTCGCGCCCTCTTTTGAAACAGGTACCATAACAACCACCACCACCTCCGCCATCCATTTTTTTGACAGTCGCCTGTTCTAGATACCACCGCTCGCTCCTTACAGCATTCACACTCGTTTATCAGCATACTCTATCGCTAAAGATTAATTAAAGGGGTTTTTGTTGGTTAACTCGCCTGTCAACCCACCCCCTGCCGCTCTTTCAATTGGATTTGTTTATCGCCCGAGGAATATCCATCGTTTCTCCCACGCGTATCGCCGCCAGCCTCGTTGCCCCTTGCGGAGAAAAGAAAAGGAGGAACTCGACAATCGCCGCCAACCTCCAGACGTTAGACGATCGCATCCAGTATCGGCGCTCGAACTAATCCTGCATCCTTGGATTTCGGCCCGAACTCTTGAGCCCTTGCTCAGTCCTCTCTTTTATACAGCTGCCATCGTCTCTGCCATTCCCCGCGTCTTCCTGATCGTCTTGCGTTAGCCAAATCACCATGGTATCCCAAAGCGCTCTTCTTGCGGCTGTTCTGTCGCTCGGTGGGCTGGAGTTGGTTGCTGCTACCCAACCTAATGCTCGCTACGATCACAAGCAGGTCAAACGCCAGTTCGGCTCTTTCCTAAATGGCCAAGACTCGGACCCAAAGAATTGGTTGGGTTCGATCTTTAATCAAAATCAAGGACAAGAGCCTGAGGGTACAACTACCACCACGACCACCTCGGCTAAGGCTCCCGAGGAGCCAGATGTGGTGGTTGTGCCAATTACTCTCTCAGTTGATGATAACGGCAAGACGCACACTATTACTGGCACTGCCAGTACCGGCGTTGCGACAGGCGCTTCTTCTACCACTACCTCAGAGGCTACAGTAGCGGCTGTTACAGCCACAACTACTGCGGACTCCAAACCTGCTGAGACTAGCACCACCACCTTGTCGTCGACGACAACAGAAGGCCCACTGGAAGATTTATGGAATGGCCTTGTCGGTTCAACTACCGAGTCTGACAGCTCGAGCACAACTAAGACAGGTAGCTCAGAAACCGCTAATGATGCTGTCGACACGAAGTCCGTTGACACCAAGTCTTCTGACACCACCGACACCGCTACATCTACATCGACCACCACGTCAGATGGCCTGCTTGGTGGACTTGGTTCAATTTTGAACCCGGACAATGATTCTTCGTCTTCCACTTCGACCTCGACCTCGACCAGCACCGGAACTACTGCTGACACCGCGTCTAAGCCAACCAGCACGTCCGAGAACTTGCTTGATCTTGGTTTGACTCTGGGAGGTGATTCTTCGACCTCATCTACGACTGGCACTGAAAAAAGTACTGGAACCACCACTCAGACGTCGCCTACAGCGACCTCTACCTCGTCCGAACCCCTAATTGATCTTAATTTGGGTCTCGGTGGCGATTCTTCGTCGTCTACTACGAGCACAACCACTGGTGCGACATCTACTACAACCGGTACCTCGGGTAACTTGTTCGCTGGCCTTGATGGCACATCCTCTTCTTCGACTTCAAACACCCCCGGTCCGACATCTACCAGCACGTTTGGCCTTCTTGATGGTCTTTTCCCTGGCCAGTCTTCGACTTCCACTGGCGCTACGCCCACATCTTCAAGCACTTCGGGCGGTTTGCTCGATCTGCCGACAATCCCCATCAGCGTCCCCGAGTCGACACAGTCATCTTCAAGCTCAATCAACATCGTGCCTACTTCTGGAATCTTGCCTTTGCCTTCTGATGTGACAAGCGCCCTTTTCCCCTCATCTGGAAGCTTGACAACTTCGGTCCCAGTCATCCCGCCAGCACAGACGTCTAGTTCTAGCAACTCGGCAATTCCTACTTCGTCCTCGGAAGGAGGCTTGATTACTTCGAGTTCCACTGCGTCTCACCAGCCCACCTCTACCACTGTTCCTACGTCTACACCTACTCCAATTATTAGCACGGAGAAGCCCACAACTACGGAACCGCCCACAACCACGCAGACTCCGTCAACCACCGACCAGGTCTCGGAAAATACCGACTGGGTGGAGACTAGCATTATCATGGAGCCTACTCAGACTGAACAGGAAACAGCAACCGAGACGACTACCAGCACTTCCACTCCCCAGCTTCCTGGATCCATCGCCCCCGCTGGAGGCCCTCCTAACCCGCCTGTGGACTCGACTTTGATCCAAGTGGGCTTCACCAGAGAGCTTCGCTATTCATTCGTTGCAACCAACCCGATGTCTGTGTCTCAAATTTTCCTTTACGTTCCTCAAGGCCTGGCATACGCCCTTGAGGGGTCAACCAACGACGTCCCTATGTTCGGTATCTCTCAGTACGACAACGAAGCAGTTACTGGATACATTGCAACTGTTGCTCAGGCGTACGTTCCGACAAGTGATGTGGAAAAATTGCGGAAGCTGCTGCACAACCCCAACTCCCGACTTTATGACCAACCTAATGACTCTGTTGAGACATTGATGACCATGATCGACCCCTCCATCCCACTTGTTGTTGGCGACTATGATGGCACCGGCAGCTCCCTGTCCAATGGCAACGGCGATGACTCTGGCAGCAGCAACAATGACGGCGATAGCTCAAACAACGGCGGCTACGACGACTCGACTGCTGGCGCTAGCAGCAGTGGTAAAGCCAAGCCAAGCTCTGTCGGTATTGGCGTTGGTGTCGTGGCTGGTGCTGCCGCATATGGTGCCGGAATGTTCTGGGTCGCCCGCCGCTACCGCAAGAAGCGTCAGCTTCACCGTCGCACGAGCTCAACAGTCGATCAGATGAGCGAGGGTGGTGGATCTCTGTTCACTGGCGGTGGTCGCATGTCTCGTGGCAGTCAAAACAGCCGTGGCACCCAACGCACGCAAATGATTAGCGCTCCCGTCATGGCCGAAAACTCGTTGGGATGGAACTAAGCCCATTCAAAACGATGTACAAAGAAAAAATAAAAAAATCACATGGTCTTGGGTCAAGGCAGCCTGGGGCAGTATAGCCTAGGAAGAGTGGATGGGAGAAACAAAGGTCTCTGCACCGCTTTCCCTTGTCCGTGGGATGCACTTGGTATATTATTGGTTCTGCCTGTATCTTCTATACGACGGCGTCCTCACGCCTCCTTTTTTCTTCTTTTCTACATACTTTTTTCTTTTCTTTTTACTTATTCCCCATACTGTTTTTGACCTTTTACCCCTTCCATCCTTCTCTTCTTGAACCCTCTTCTGTGACAGCGCAGAGACCTGACTCCTCCGCCATTCTCTCGTCACTTTTAACTCTTTTTGGATATTATTCCAATCTACCTTGATCCGACTCTATCCTTTATCCTTTCTTGTTTGTACAGCTGTATAGTGAAGTGACTGTAGAGAAGAGACGAGCCATGTTTGGCATGAATTTATATGTTAATAGTTGTTCTTATGGATATGGTGACTCCTTGTTTGATAAAAGATATTCAATTAAGTAAAGCCTCGCCGATGTGATTATTATATGCCATGCCAGGTCTGAAGGAAATAAGAATTGTAGAGTACACTTGGGCAACAACAAGAAAAAGAGAATAGAGTAGAGACTGCGTAGGAAAGGGTGCATGCATCAGGCAACATGTATAACAAAGTGAAGTCGAGAGAAACACTTATTTCTTCAAAATAGCCTGCCTGCATTCCTTCCGTTCCTCCCCTCGAAACACATCCGGCAAGGTGTTCACTCAGTTTTGCTCTTGTTCTCTTTCTGCTTTGACCCGAACCCCAACATTGCCAGGATCCCTGACTCTCCGCGCTCCTCGCGCTCGCGCTTCCTTTGCTCTTTCGCGCGCAGCAGATCCTCTTTATAGTCTTCCCAGCTTACTTCCCCGTTTGCTGGAAGCTCCCCCTTTTGCACCTTGATATGGAAATGGTCTAGAGACGTGGGGTCCTCGTGATCTTGATCCTTTCCAGTCCTTGACACTTCTGAATGCCGTGGTAGCTCCCGGACGGCGTCTTCGCCTCCGTAAAGGCGTAGTCCATTGCGGAACACCCAGTCAACTCCTTCCTCGACAGGGTGGTCAAAGATGTAAGGCAGGAATGGAACAACAGAGAGACCAAGCTGGGTACCAGTTAATAAGTTGTACACTCTCAGGCGCTTAAGAAGGATCCGGTTTGTGGGAAAAAGAGGGAAAAGCATACACCGATAGGAGCCCACGTTCTCATAAACGTACTCTTTGCGCCCTTCAACGCCCGCCCGGAATATCTTACCACAGTATGGATCGTAAAGGCCGGAAGTCCCATACTTGCGAGACCCTGGAACAATGCGCGTTGTGCCATAACTACCCGGTAATCTTCAATCAGCGGGACTCGCGCTGTCGGCCAGGGTGTGAGCGTATCGCCACCTCCCACCCCTTGTCCGCTAGGGTACGATGAACCCGATGGTGATTGTGAATTGCTCAACGGCCCCGTAATGTTTCCCGTCGCCATGCCCATGACTACTTCCTGATGTGTTAGGTCTGACGAATCCTTATATGCCTCGCAGGGTGGTGCCAGGACCCGCCGGTTGCGTAGGTATGCCTTGTACCCTTCGTGTCCGACATCGCCGAGTAGGTACGTCCAAGAGATGGCGTATGCGGAGCGCACGAGGATGGGATGCGCGACTGGGCGGAATGACTCGCCTACATCGGAGGTGTAGGCGACGTAGCGATGGGCGGAGAGGAGGATGGTGCGTAGACGTGTGGCGTAACCGGCATAGCGGTAAGGGGTATCGACTGAGTCGACGGAGCTGGGTTTCTGTCAGATTTTGGAGTGCCTCCTGCTGTGTATAGCTGCGGCTGCCGCTAGAGCTGGGCTTGCGGGCGCTGGGGATAGCTGTGGGGGCGGCGGGGAGTATGGGGAAGGGATGGGGGGATGAACGGCAGGCGACAGCGGGATCAATGGACGTACTATGGACTGTAGACATCGTCGTAGAATTGGTCGTCGTGATCAACGATTCTCTGCAGGTGAGGGTTGAGCTTTGCCCGTTTAACGGGCTCTTGGGGCTCAGGAGGTGATTCTTCTTTTCCCTTCCCCCAGAACATGATGGATTTGCGTGTGGAGGTACAACTAAAGTGGAGGGGGGAGATGAAATGGAGGTGGAGATGTGAAGTGAGAAGCAGCGAGGGAGGTGGTTTCGACAAGAAGAAGATATTACTATGCTACGGCAGCGGTACAGCCTCCCTTAGTCCTCATACATCGGGACCATCGGGAGATCCAGCCAGCCGCAGTGTCAGGGAAGAGATTACTTCCCCAAGGTTCGGTATAAGCTGTTCCTCTGGTCATACCAAGCGATGACACGAGAGCTACGAAAGTTCCGATGTGAGCCTTGCTCCGCCGTTCTCCTCATTTTCCCACCGCGATACTGACTGATTTTCCCTCCCAGCTCAACCATGTCAATACTTGACTGGGTATTTCTCCGGTGCAGAGCTTGTGAAGAGACGGAGAGCTCGTGTGTCCCAATATACCGACGTCATTCACACCGGGAGCTATCGGGACGTCATGTGATTTTATGCATCGCATTGCTGACTCATGAATAAACTGGCGGCTAACCGCATCTGGTAAGCCCCAACCGCCGCAACTTCCATCGCTGTGCCGTTCGGACGACTGCCGCAGAACCAGCTCTTTCGAACCGCTTCATTCGCCCTAACCGTTCATTCTCGAACCCCTTCCCCTCAATCGTCATAATGGTCGTCTACTACCAGCTCGCCGGCAAGCAAGTCGGCTCTCACCACGTATGTTCCCGTCGCCCTGACGTCGTCTGGCTCCTTTCCTGTCGTCCGGGAAGGACACGGAGTGCCGCTTAACAGGAGGCTGGCTAATACTTGTCAATTTCATATAGCTCGCTCTCGGTATCCTCGGATCCCTCTTCGGTGGTGTCTACCTTGCTACCCGTGGCGGTGGTGCCCAGCAGAAGCCCGCTGCTCCCCCGATCCAGGCGTCTTCCAAGGACGAGGAGGTTTTCATTCAGTATGTTTCTCCGCATGCTAGCACACGAGTCCTGTGCAATAGCGTATTGAGATTTGAGTCGTTGCAACGTGTCCAATTTTCAGAGACACGAATGTTAGACCAATTGACTGACTTGTCTTTAGGGACTTCCTGAAACAAATGAACGGGGAGACCAAGAAGGAAAACAACTAGAGTATCCCTAGGATAACTGAAAGGCCGGATGATGTCCTGATCTTCAAGACTCGAAACACGATGCATTTCCCCCAGGATGACCCGATATACACCTTGGTTGGAAGCGTGAGGGGTCAGAGCGATTGGAGTGACTGTGATCGCTAGCCGACGGCTCGATAGAGACCGTGGGCTAGGCGGATATGTACATATAGAGGTATACGCCTGGAAGACTTATTTTCCTTTCGTAATTGTGCAATTGTGCCATGAGGTTGGCGTAGCAAGATCGGAGACTGCTCTGTAGTTGAAGCAATGGTTGTCCTTGCAGTCTTTACACTAGTGTAAGCTTGTGGAATATTGAGATCAAATCTCTCTCACTATTGAGGAAATCATACCATCCGAGAAGAGACTACATATCTCATCATCTTGACAGGAATGATAATGCTGGCTTAGTCACCCTTGTAAGGCCAATCTCCCCCGAAACCGAAAAAAAGCGAAGCTTTAGCTACACTTAACGTGCCTATCTATGCCCACTTCCAACCTCCAATCCTCACCATGAAATTACCACCTCTCCCCTTCCCGCTCGCTCTCAACATCGGCACCGACATCGTCCACCTTCCCCGCATAACGCGCCTCATTACCCGCCCCGGAGGCTACCTCACCCGCTTCACACGACGCATCCTCACCGAGCAGGAACAACGAGATTTCCGCGCCCGATTCCCTCTTCGCCCGGCCAATTCGGATACCGTCAACCCACAAAAGGAGGGCTCTGGTGCGCCTACGCGTATTACACCCGATATGGCGCGGTGGATTGCCGGTCGGTTTGCAGCGAAAGAGGCGGCGCGGAAGGCCGCCGCGGCTGGCGCAAAGGGGGTTGGATGGAAGGATGTCGTTGTTCAGGTTGGCGGAGAGGATGGCGCTGAGGGCAGACCGGAGGTTGTGTTCTTTGATCCCAAGAGAGAGGGCGATAGGGGGAGGGTCGGACGGTTATCGATCTCGCATGATGGGGAGTATGTTGTTGCGACTGTGCTTGCGGCAGGTTGAAAGTCGAGATGTGCAAGGAAATGGAAATGACTACTTGACCCGGTTGGGAACGGCCATAAACCCGGTTAACCACGCTGCAAAGTTCTCGCGTCCTGAGACCGGCAATGGGGCAAGCTTGTATGGAGAAAATACTCTATCCCCCACCCACCTAGCGCTTGCCTGGCGACTTTGTGTGCTGAAGCACAACCCGTGCCATTGGAATATGTCTGGATGCTGGAATGGGACCGAGGAAACTCCTGTCTTGCGTTGTCGGTATATTCCAGGCGATGTTTGGCATAAATGGACAGATTTCTGGGGTCGTGCTGGTGGGCATTATAGACATTGTGTGAATGCTACATATGGAGTATTAGGCCTCCGTGTGCATAGTTAACACCAGTAAATGACCAATTCATGTTTAGCCCTATTTCTTTTCCCTAAAATGGCGTGTTTATAGACCTTATAGTGCAGTCGCTGCACGCTGCGGTGGCGGTGGAAGTTACCGCGTCACTACCCAAACCCATCTCCATTTTTAATTCCCTGTAACACTCCTCCGTGTCTGACTTCATCTTCAAAATCCCAATTAAAGAGTAAAAATATCTGGGAAGGATCTGTTTACTATTTGATAGCGCTCCTAACCTGCCTTCATTTGCCTCCAACATCCAGATCGTTATCCCCGCGCGGGGCATTTTGTACCGTAAGTTGACCTCATCAAGCATAGGCTGCTTGTCTATCCCGCTCTTTGTCCCAATTTCCGCTCGATATATTAATCCTACAAGCTCAGAACCAATCTGAACCTGTCCCCGGCTCGTTGATATCCCCGGCCATTATGCCATTTTCACACCATAGCCATTCAGGGCAATTCTGCCCTGGCCACGCAAAAGACTCCCTCGAAGAAGTCATCCAATTGGCTATAGCCAAAAAGTTCAAAGTATTTTGCTTAACGGAGCACATGCCCCGTGGAGAACTTGATTATTATCCAGAAGAGGTATTTGGGTCCCGTCCTGTCCTGATATGTCGTGTCCGGCCGTGTCCTAGCAAGCCTGGCGTGGGGAGGACGTCGGCAAAAAAGCAATTACTCCGCGAGGAGAGTCTGAGAAGAGGGAACGAGGAAAATGCCTTATCTAAACGCATCACGGCCTAACCAACGCATGTGTATATGTGCTTTTTTCTAACATCCAACATAGATTGAATCTGGCCAAACAGGGTCATGGATGATTGCCAACGAGGCTGACTACTTCCACGAGGCAACCCGGCTCCGAGCAAAGTACGCCGATCAGATCCAGATTATAGTCGGGTTTGAGATCGACTGGATCCGACCAGAGTCGCGGGCCCTAGTTGAGACGTCGCTGAAGGCGTTCCCGTTCGAGTTCTTTATGGGCTCTCTCCACCACACGCGGACCGTGCCGATCGACTATGACCGCGAAATGTATGAGAATGCGCGCGACTTGGCCGGCGGCTCGGATGAACGCTTATTCGAGGCCTACTTTGACGAGCAGTTGGATATGTTGCAGCAGCTGAAGCCGCTGGTCGTCGGGCACTTCGATCTCATCCGCCTGAAGAGCGATGGTCCTGACCGGAGCTTCAAGCAATGGCCCGGGGTTTGGGAGCGGATCTTGCGCAATTTGGACTACGTGGCTGGGTATGGGGGCATCCTGGAGCTGAATTCTGCTGCGCTGCGGAAGGGTATGAGTGAGCCTTATCCCAAGGCTGAGATTTGCCAGGTAAGTCGGTTTCTTTATTTTTGTTCTTTTCCTGCATCTGGTGGATGCAGTCATGTGCAAGGGTTCTTCATGCAAGATAAGGTGCTAATCGGACATCGATAGGAGTTTTTGGCCCGTGGAGGCCGTTTCTGTTTGTCTGACGATAGTCACGGTTTGGATCAGGTTGGGCTGAATTACCTCCGGGTGCTGGATTTCATTGAGAAGACGGAAATTACCACGCTGCATTATCTCGATCTCAGAGCTGAAGGCGAGACCGAATCCGCGGCTGATAGCCGATTTCCTCACACGCTCATCAAGTCCGCGTCTGTGGACGAGGTGAAGAAAATGAGCTTTTGGGAAGGAAAGTAGGAAAGCCAACAGCTCTTCAATGTCGGGATGACGGTGGAAAGACTCCCGGATCAACTTGGGAAAAGAAGTGCATAATTTCTTATTTTGAATGGGCGTGGAAGGCCTATTTATACGTGGACATCTCTGCGCTAGTAGTAAGCGATACTACCTGTGTATCCTGATGGTACAGGCTTCGTTTACTCGACAAACGATGGATAGTCCACCTTGCCACTATGATGTTGATGGAAGAGGTGAAGCTCACCCCTTCGCCGATATCGCCCATGTCGAACAACGACAACAGTTGCTGTCTATAGCTCCAATATAATTGTTTCGTCAGCCTCCCAAGCTGGCTTTAAAACCGACCACCGCACCCTAGTTGAAGAACAATTCTAGAGGCCAAACAGCCCGACTGGGCTGTCGACCAACGTGCGTGGACTGAGGCAGATGATAGCGAGACACAACGTGGAATCCTGTCGATCAACCACCCTACACCGTAAAATCACGAAATCGCATCCTTCGCTTGGTTGTCTCCCGACCAACCGCTGTCTGAACCGCGGCGGAGAATCTGCATAGATACCAGACTGGCTAGCTTGGGTACTAAGCCTGAAGAATCCCTCCAACTAACTACGAACGATTAGTATACTCGCAGGCTGGTATCGGCCGGATTCCTTCCCATAAATAAGTCGCATCATGAATAAGAAAACCCGATATTAACCAGCATTAATGCCGGGTAGTAATTCTGCCTAAGCTACAAAACTGGTTACATCCCCCCACTCTATCTGTATTTCCCTTCTTAATTACCTTGCCCCTCCTCTCTTCGGCTTATATCCCATGAGTATTGTCCTATACAAGCAGAACAGATCACCCACTACAGATTAGAATGGGCATACTACACGGCGTTACAAAGACAATCCTCCAGCCAGGAAACGGCCGCGACAGCCCCAAGAAAGGCGACACGGTGATCATCGAGTACAGAGGCTGTTTATATGATGAGTCAAGTGGTGCCGACCACTACTTCATGGGCACCCAGTACGTACGATCAGACGGGGTGAAATGAAAGAGAAAAATGATGAAGAGTACCAGAGTGTCTGACTTGGTACATTTTATTATCTACTCAATAGGTTCGATACATCGAAGGGCCGGGGCCCGCTGAAGACGGAGATTGGTGTTGGAAAGGTTATCATTGGTAGGCTTTTAACCTGGTTATTTACATGTTCGTCGCGTCAGCAGAGAGAGAAAGAGAGGCTTATATTAGTGCTGGTTGATATCAGGTTGGGACGAGGGCGTGCAGCAGATGACGCTCGGCGAGAAGGCCATTTTGACAATTTCGAGGTACGTTGGTCTCATATTGTATATTCTAAGTTGCTGCTCCTCCATTACTAGTGGTTTGTGGTGGTCTCGTATTTCTGACTTATTGTATAGTGATTATGGGTATGGCAAAAAGGGATTCCCTGGGCTGATCCCGCCCAATTCAGGGCTGGTGTTGTACGTCGTCCATTTTGATCTTCCTTTCTTTTGAAAGGATGACAATTGCTGATATGATCTGATAGCGAGGTTGAATTGAAGAATATTCTTGGGAAACCTGTTTAGCATGCTTATGATGATGCTTGTTGAGGCGTTGGACAAGATACTTGCTTTTTCTGATTGTGAGAATAGTTTGTTTGGAGCTTGCAGGAGTTATTAATTTGGTATCGAGCAGACATCAGAGAGCCATTTGAATATGAGTCCTAGGAGAATTTGATTCTTCTTTCGGTGATATTTTCTATATCTCATAGAGAGCGTAGTGACCAGGCTAAGACTGGACCAACACGTACAATTGTAATAGAGCCTATCGCGGAATTGTATTAATGTAGGCCATCCCATCCACCCGGTAATCGTCTTTCTCAACATAGCTTTGGCCCTTGGGTAGGCGGAAGACGAAGTTCGACGGACTACTTGAGTTCGAGCTGGACTTTGCCGGATATCGTGGCCATTTCGGGATATTAAGTGCTTGTGAGAGTTAGAGAGATATGCTATGTCATCAGTAAAGATGGGGGAAGTACCGCCGTGTCCATTTGGATCCAAATCCACCACAAATGACGTCCACATGCGTGCTGCCAGATTCGCGAGATCTAAGCGATCAGGGTCGTCCCCTAATTTTGTGATGTTTTGGACTGGATTCGCGAAGACGAAGGGTATCTATAATGAAAAGATGGTCAGGATTTGATCGGGTAGACTCGAGTATTGCCTACGCACCTCGGAGAAATGATTCACGCCGATATTGCTCGTCTCATTAAGAGCCGCTACGTCCCACCGGTAAGAGTAAACGGACTTCTCGTATTTAGCCATGGTCGCCGCGAGGAGACGTCGAGGGGCTGCCATGGTTATGTCACCGGCCATGGACGAGTACCGTTTATACATCAGTCCTAGCTCAGGCCAGGTGACGTTGCCCCAGCCATAGGGGGATCCAACTGTCGGATCATTGGGGTAGTATGTTATGAGCTCTGTAGCTTGTTCAGGAGTGAGAACCCATCGCTTCGATGCTAAACTACGTTAGTGGCTGGCTCTTGTTATGTGGGAGGTAGGGTATATACAGATAAGTTGCGCAACGCAGTCTTCGTCAGTATCGACGCCTGTAGTACCAAAACTGACGCCCTCGTCGGTGTTTGACCCGACAAGAATAGGCACCTTGGCGAGTCGGCCCTGCGTGATACTGATCTGGGGATACTCTTTGATAAACGTGCCGTCAACGGCCGCGAACCATTCTAAACCTTCAAATGCCACTGCATATAGTTTGTCAAATGGAACCTCGCGGAGGCATTGGAGCGTGTCCAACGAGGCTGAGCATCTGTGCTAGTTAGAAGTGATTCCGATATTCAATTGCACCTGACACGGCCTACCCTGCTTCATCCACGATTCGGTCGTACATTGGTTGGTGCCAATCTGTGCCATTCCACGGAGGACCGACTGCGCTTCCAGACTCCATGATTGCTACCATTCGGTTAACTTTCTAGGAACTGCAATGCAGAAACAATCATACCAGCTCTGAACAAGCCCTCATTATCGCCGTCGTTGGCTACTAGATGAGCGCCTACGCTATATGCACCCCTGCTATACGTTAGGGTCGATCCTGGATATCCAATAGAATGACTTACGCCGATTCGCCCCATATTGTGACCTTGTCAGGGTCTCCGCCGAAGGCCTCGATATTATGTGTGATCCAACGCAGGGCGACCCGCTGATCCAGAAGGCCTAGATTATTATTCCCGGAAGCCTGAACCATGAGTCCCAGACTTGAAAGGGGATGTGTTGACAGAGACATACTCGAACTTCCTCCGAATCCAAGAACCCAAACGCGGCAACGCGGTAATTTATCGAGACACCCAAGATAGGCTTGCCGTTTAGTGCTGCTTGCCGGGTGATATAGGTCATGTTATACCTAACGAAGCCAGCATTAGAGGCCGGCCTTTTCCACCGTCTTCGAGTCAAGACCATACCTCGGATCAGCCGTCGCCCCCTGCTGCCATCCACCACCAAATATCCACACCATAACAGGTAGTAGCTCGCCACTCCCAGCCTCTTTCTTCGGTCGAACGATATTCAGATTGAGACAATCCTCGTTCATCTGGATTAGGCCCATCTGCAAGAGCGTCGTTGTGTCAGACCCATACCCAGGACACTCATATCCGTACTGCGAGGCATTATAGTGCACTGTTCCCTGTATAGACGAATGATGGACCAGTCCCAGATCGCTATCATTCGAAGCATAGGTCGTCTTCAGTTCTGATGGTGTGAATCGAACCGGCTCGTCTGCATATTTGATCCCGAGGAAGAGCTCCTGGTCAAATTGGGGAAGAGAGCGACCTATGAAGGCAGTTGTATCCTTGGACCCAGAGCCATTGGGGATAGTCACTACGGGATTAGGACTCAATGCGTATGCGGAGGCTTGAAGAGGTAAACTTTTGATAGCCAGAAGGGCGAGCCAGGGAATTGCTGAGAGGCAATACCGCATCTCCAATGGTTGTCTCTGTCTTTACTTTTTTTGCGGATATGGGCCGGGGTAGATGATGATCCATGAGCAGTACTTATGTTATTGTTGCTGCTGTCTGAATGGTGCAGGGGCCCGAGTCCGGTGGAGAAAGAGTTGAATCCCGTCAAGGCTGGACGTTCTCATGTTGATTAGGAGTTCTGTGTAATGGAGGCGAGATACTGGGGAAATTATCCAGGGATGCGGGGGAAGGAAGATTATAGGTGGAAGAAGTTGAGGATGTGTTGCGATGGACTCACTAGTTCCTTCTACGCGGAGGAATTTATCCGGATCAACACAGACCAGAGGCTGCTTGAAATGCTAGTCTGATAAGTTAGGGATTGTTGATTTAAATTGACAATTAGCTCGACGGATGATGGACGCCAAACAAAGCGGATTATTCTAGCTAGCATACACGCCTTTAGCAATGGGCACGACCGGCGGCCTCCATGGATCTTCACTGCGTGAAGATTATGCTGGACTGGGACAGAAAGATTGAGGCCTCCGAGGATGGACCGTCATAATCTAGGTACACAATATGAAACAGAGAAAGCACATATCCTGATATCAAAGCAATAAAAACCAAAGCAGGGTCCTGCTACGCCGTGCTATGCTCGAAGCGTATAACTAACGGGTTTATATCTTGGGAAGGGTGGTATCAAACAAATTAAAGCGGCCGTGCGTGACATATAATAAGGGCGCAATATTTTCAATCGTCCTTATATCTGTCGAAGCCAGTACGAGTCCTGCTCGTGCTGGGTGAAGCGCTGGGAATTCGCCCCCTCAGGTTTGCTCCGTTAGCAATGCTGGAGCTCGATCGGTTTGAATCTGGCTTCCAGCTTGGCCCCGAGAGGAGGCCAGACGAATTCCGTGGCTCCATCCCATCATCAAGCTCAATAAGGTCGCCGAATCCTCTCCTTCTGGACTCCTGAGGCCGGCCGTGATCTTGCTGGTTGGATGTTCCTTGCTGGAGATCAGTGATGCTAGATTTTGCCCGAGCTGTCATCTTTCTAACCCAGCCTTCAACAGCACCGCCAATATTATCCAGGCTGTTTGAATTGCTGGAGGTCACGGTTGATGAATTCTCGCCAAGACTCTCAAAGTTCGGTGGAGCTTGTTTTGGTGCCAAGGTAGGCAGATGTTGGGCGAAGAACTTGCTCAGGCCATCCATAGCTGGTCCAGGTAGATTGGTACTGCGATCAAGAGTGCCTACGCCCGGTCCTGAAAGTTCCAGCCCACTTCGCTGGCGTCTATGTCCACCACCCGGTCTTGGGCCTCCCGGAATTCTTGGTTTGGGCGAGCCTACGTGGAGCCGATCAGATCGATGTTCATGTTGCGGCGAAGCCGGCTGAATGGGCGATGACGCTGTTGAAATAATTGGTGCTTGCTCTCGGCCTCGCACGGGTTCAGTGTCGCTATAACAAAGTGATTTCCGTCTGGTACGGGGGAAGAAGCCGAGTGCTCGCCTAGCAACACGACCAATTTCAACAGGCGCAGGGAACCCGTCAATTTGCACCCATGACTCATGCTTCCATACCTGGTCACTTTCGGCTTCCGTGTCAACGCTGGTTCGTTCTGGGTCTTTTGGGAATTTTGAAGAGGCAGGCGAAGGTGCTGGGACAATGGAGCTCCCGCTTGGGTCTTCTATGGACCGACGGCTTGGAGCTTCTTGCAAAAGATCCGTATTTCCCTGGGGTTGGATAGGCCGGCCCTTGACCGAACAACAATCAACTGGTAGGAGTACAGTCTTTCGACCTTGGATGCTATCAGTAGGCCAGAAACCGTTCGCTTTGCGAAATATTGCTGGCTGACAGCCATATCTTATCGTGACGCCAGTAATGCTGTCTGTGGGCTGCACTTGATGCACGTATACCAGCGCCTCCTCATCTTGGTCTGGATCGATGTCCGGTCTGGCCGGACGGTCATTAGAATCGCGCCGTTTGCGCCGGGAGTTAAGATCCCAGCTCGGATCTGTGTCCGCTAGTAACAATGCCTCCATCTTCTTTGCCTGGACCATCGCTTGTCTGTCCTCTTGTGTTCCGGCGCCGATTTCCGGTGTGGACAACCCCGATGGGCCCCATGTCGAAGCCGACGGCGTTCGGGGCTGAATTCGCGAGTTATAATCAGGCCGTGACGGTTTTCTAGTATGAGATCGTGGGGCTCCGTTCGAAGTCGGACGAGTAGTATCACTCCCTAGAAGCGATGATGCTATACCTTGTAGCGACGACCAGGATGCATCTAGAAAGTCTACAGCAGCTCGCGACGACTCAGCAAACGGATCCTGGTATTTTCCACTGGGATGAAACCCACCTAATGAATTCCCCAGCTGAGAGCTGCCGTTGGGCTGCGTGACTCGTGAAGGATGGCCCTTGGGAATCGGTGAAACGGTTCGAGACGGCCGAGGTGAAGGTGTCGCGCCACGCGAGCGGAGGGAGGGTAACTCCGACGAGCGCATCGTAGAGAGACCGGAGGACGAAGGTTGTCGCCCAATGCTATCTTCTTCATCGTCTGTAAATGAAAGTAAACGGCGGGGGCGGACGGTAGAAGTAGATCGCTGGGTGAAGGTATCGGCGGAGCCGCTTCTGGAACTCATCCCAGGCGATAGGGGAAGGGACGTTTGGAAGAGTAGACGGGGTGCCGTTGACTCTCCGGAGAGTGGCTAACGCTGCGTTGGAGACCACCGGGGCACAGTTTGCCATCGGACGCCCCTATGATAGAGCATTCGGCATGCGGTGTCTTCTATCGCGTC